CCTTTTTCACAAAACTTTACGGGAAATGTACATAGGGAGAGATCTCAGAGAAGGCATTATAACATAGGCAGACGATCCCACCTATATACAGGTTCAAGAAGCGCATTGCCATCAAAAATGCCGTGATAAGTGACGGATGAATTAAACCAATCCATTCGGCGGAAAATAGAGGAGTATGCATTTTTGGAGAAGAAAAGGAAGGAGCCAAGATTTCTCCAGGTTTTGAGGATAGGCAGACCATCATCCGTTTGGTCGTTTGAGCAATAGTTCTCCCTATTGTAAATTATACGGATGGTCTTCCCGGAGAACGTGATACATGAAGGATGGAATTTTCATTAAATCCCAATATATTTTGATATAAGTCGGCAGCGTACAGACTTTCTGCCGGTATTCATCCTGTTCATCACATACTTTTGAGATGACCACGAGGTACTCTGCCGGCAAAACTGTGGGGAAGGAGGCTTGACATCTTATAAGTTGTGATATTTGCAAGGGAATGTCAACCCCATTGCCACGAGTGAAGAGAAGGATTGCAGTAGATGAACGTGCCAAGAAAGTAGCCAATTATCCGTATGGTACACTGCATGTTGCCGAATACTGGGGCATGAAACAACCATCACATTTTGTAGCACTCAGATCATCCCAAGTAAATGGTCCCAGAGGCACACACATATGAGATATCTATCATGGCAATGTGCAGATTTACCGTCTAGATGAGACTTCAAATGAGCATCCATGGGAATAAGGCACTGTGCAGAATATGTATATATATATATATATATATATATAAAAATAGAAGAGAATCAAACAATTGGAATGACGCTCCGCTAGCCCTCCGGGAGCCACTGCCGTGGAGGCAGAATAAGTGGAAGATGTCACGAGCATATCGTTTTGATTTGAGCATTTACCTACGCTGCGACAGTATTGTATGAGAATGATATGGTGGAATTCCTCAATATAATAATAATAATAACAACAACAACAAGGCGACTACAGCTCGATGCTTCAGACAGATCCAGATGCCGGCTACCATGATGTCGATATCCGGAAGCTTACAAATCTCCAGAGAAAGTTAAGGTTGTGATGTTTGTGGTAACTATACGATCCATTGTAACTTATAATAAGAGGCGAAACTGATGAGTGTACGATACGATGTGATGTAAGACTTACCTTGGGGAACTTCTCCACTTCAACTGAGGGTCTTGCCGGTTTTTCCTTACCCCATTCCCGAATACGAATTCTACCTAATTACTTTACTTCGTACACAAAGGCCAGCACCATATCAATCTCCTGTATGGAAATTTATAACAATTCAGCCATTCAATATTTTTGGCTAAAAATTAATTGAGGAGATTCCTTTGCTATTACTATGTCAATAGAGGTCATCTTGAAGATATAGAATCATCAACAAGATTATAGTAATTGATCCAATCAAAGGACTTCTTAACAATATTGCACACTGGTAATTCTGGCGTACGTTTTTTTTCCGGGTTTCGGCTACTCATGGTCGGATCGTTCAATGACAATAATTGGAAATAGATTTCTTTGATTGGCTCGATGGGCCCAAAATCCTGACTAAGTAAGCATCGAGCCATCATCGTTATAGTTTAATCCCGAATTTGAAGATTTGGAAACGCCCTTGGACTAACCTGAGTTGCCTCTATTGCCGTTCTCTAAAAAGGTCCATAATAGAGAAAGATATTAATTCGGGTGTTGCGCACTCTTCTCCCCTCTTCTTTCTATCCATAATAATAACTCTACACAATGTCTTCATTTGCTATGCGTAGATTCACATCTGGTCCTTCGGTATGTTCCATTCTCTGACCTCGGGCCCCGCGTTCGTGGTAAGGTCAGAAAAAGAAAAGAAGAAGAAGAAGAAGAAGAAGAAGACGAAGACGAAGAAGAACAATGCTAATCGGTTTGGCCACGATTGTAGTTCTCGAGGGCATTGAAGAATCAAACTAGATCTTTCTCATCGACAAGACCTGCAGGTAGATCTGCCACAACTTTGACTATTCAGACCATTGGCTAATATCTAATCTGCAGCTCGAATCATTACACATGCGCCACTAAGAGCAAAGGAAGCTTCGCCTTTCGTGAGCAACAAATACCCGGTCGTTGTACGTATCTCGACTCTACAGGCGAGGAACTTTGTATCTGATTGTTTGGGCAGGACCACGAATATGATGCTATTGTCATCGGTGCTGGAGGAGCAGGTTTAAGAGCAGCATTCGGTCTTGCCGAGGCTGGCTTCAACACTGCATGCATATCAAAGCTTTTCCCAACTCGATCACATACGGTAGCCGCGCAAGGAGGTATCAATGCTGCTCTGGGAAACATGCACGAGGACGACTGGAGATGGCACATGTACGATACCGTCAAGGGCTCAGATTGGTTGGGAGATCAAGATGCTATTCATTACATGACAAGAGAAGCGCCAGCATCTGTCATTGAGTTGGAGAACTACGGCTGCCCATTCTCAAGAACTGATGACGGCAAGATGTAAGAATAACTGGTAGATCATTTGTGGTATTTTACTAACAATGTCTATCTAGTTATCAACGTGCTTTCGGTGGTCAATCACAACAATTCGGAAAGGGTGGTCAAGCATACAGATGTTGTGCAGCTGCTGACAGAACTGGACATGCACTTCTCCACACTCTATACGGTCAATCCTTAAGGCATAACACCAATTACTTCATTGAATATTTCGCACTCGATTTGATCATGGAGGATGGAGAATGTAAAGGTGTTATTGCATACAACCAAGAAGATGGTACCCTTCACAGATTCCGCGCGCACAACACTGTTTTGGCTACCGGTGGTTACGGACGTGCCTACTTCAGTTGTACATCCGCACACACTTGTACTGGTGACGGAATGGCTATGGTCGCTCGTGCTGGATTACCGAACCAGGATCTTGAATTCGTTCAATTCCATCCTACTGGTATTTATGGCGCTGGTTGCTTGATTACTGAGGGTGCTCGTGGTGAGGGTGGATATCTCCTTAACTCTCAGGGCGAAAGATTTATGGAACGTTACGCACCAACCGCCAAGGACTTGGCTTCCCGTGACGTTGTTTCGAGATCAATGACCATGGAAATTAGAGAGGGACGTGGTGTTGGCCCAGAAAAGGATCACATCTATCTCCAATTGAGTCATCTTCCTCCTGATGTTCTCCACGAACGTCTCCCAGGTATCTCTGAAACCGCATCCATTTTCTCCGGTGTCGATGTTACAAAGCAACCTATCCCAGTTCTTCCAACAGTCCATTACAACATGGGTGGTATCCCAACCAAGTACACCGGTGAGGTTCTCACTGTTGATGCTGAGGGTAAGGATAAAGTCGTACCAGGTCTTTTCGCATGTGGTGAAGCTGCTTGTGTTTCCGTACACGGTGCCAACCGTCTCGGAGCCAACTCACTTCTTGATTTGATCGTTTTCGGTCGTGCTGTATCCCACACTATTCGCGATAACTTCGAACCAGGAATGCCACACAAGGAGATCAGCGCTGACGCTGGTGCCGAATCTATCAGTGTTCTTGACCAAATCAGAACCGCTGATGGTACCAAGAGCACACACGAGGTTCGTCTTGCCATGCAAAAGACTATGCAGACAGACGTCAGTGTGTTCAGAACTCAAGAGAGTTTGGATGAGGGTGTCGCAAAGATCAACGCTGTTGATCAAACATTCAAGGATATCAAGACTCAAGATAGAAGCATGATCTGGAACTCGGATTTGGTTGAGACTCTAGAATTGAGAAACTTGTTGACTTGCGCGTAAATTTCCCCTGCTTACATTTTCGAATCTTGCCGAATTATATACTAACTTTATATAGTGTTCAAACTGCCGAGGCAGCTGCCGCTAGAAAGGAATCTCGTGGAGCACATGCCCGTGAAGATTACCCAGAGAGAGATGATAAGGAATGGATGAAGCATTCTTTGACCTTCCAAAAGAAGCCACAAGGAAAGACCGATTTGACCTACAGAGCTGTTGTAGGCCACACCTTGGATGAGAATGAGTGCAAGGCTGTCCCACCTTTCAAGCGTGTTTACTAGATGTTCAAATTTTGCACATGGAGTAATGGCTTAGGATCTGGCTAGGGGTTACAGGGGTGCTCATACGACAAGCGACCGAGAAAAGGAAAGGCAAAGGACGGGAGAGGGGAAGATCATTAAAGATGAAAGTGGATATGACTCCAAGATCAGGAATGATCTATGAATCTTTGAGCTGGACATGAAAGGAGCATGGATTGTAGCATAGCCGGTTGGGAATTGGAGTGGATTAGTATGATATCTGTTGTTGTTGTTGTCTGCTGTTTTTGGCGTGCCAAGTTGTAGTACCCGTATAGGTGTTGTTGCGGCAGTTGAATAAAAATATCTTTATTTGAATTTTGATATGACTACTGGTCAAGGTACTTGATCGTTCAATGTTTTAGATCATCATCCTATTTGTTTATCAGTAATTTATTAAGGGGTTGAGTGATGGCTTCTTTGACATTTGTGTGTGACTTCCTCTCCAATGGACAGATCCTTTGTTGTAGCAAGAGCCAAGAGTACAGTCACATGTCAGATGGCGTATGATGGACGAGGTTAGGAGTTTCAACCGAGGAGATGTGGTGGGGGAGCAATTCCGGACTTGCGGGATTGTTCGGTAATGGATTAGGCTAGACTACAATAATATGGAAGGGAGCTAAATACTAGACTTAACTTTGTGGTTTAGTCATGCCAATCGATTAATCGTCTCGAGTATTAATGACGGTTGTATGTTGTTGTTTCGATTGATTGATTTTTTGATTTTGTGATATTGATTATTTGAAGAGTTTCGGAAAGATCTTTATATTTATCTATGTGCGTGGTTTGATTTATTGGGCTTTGTCGGATGATATCTAACTGTATATCTCATCTCATCATTTGTTCAAACAAAACTCACATCGATAACAAACTAAACACCACGCTCTTATCATCTCAACACCAGAACCCATCACATCACATCACACCATGACCTCAAGCGATCCCATAGCAAAAGGGAAAGGAAAAGGAAAATCTCCCAATCCATCTTCCTCTTCTACTTCCTCGACATTTCAAGCTCCAACGCAATATTCCTCAACCGACACGCCCAGTCACCAAGATGAACAACCTACCCCCTCTCTTCTCAACCGTATCGGTGCTTCGGCTGCGGGATTGGGTCGAGATGTTTTTGTGGGGGGTGCTGGTGGTGGGAGTGGAGGAGAGGGATTGAGGAGCGATGCAAGGGGGGTGTTTAGAGCGGCGGGGGGTGGAAAGGGAGGTGGAAGTATGAGTGGAAATGGAAATGGAAATGGGAATGCGCAAATGCACACTGGGAATCCCGGATTATTTGATGGACCTTCTTCGATTTCTGAGGGGAGGGGAGGTACGGTTAGGGATAGGGATACTTTTGGTATGAGGAGCGCGGGGAATATGGGGACTAGTGGTATTCAAGGAGACGGAGCTGGAGGAAACGGGGAATTCAATGGACATGCAGTGGGAGGGGATGAAAAAGCGAGATGGATACAGCAGAATGAGAAAGAATTTTCTGAATTTTTGGATGCTGTTCCTTCGCTTAGTCCTGCGGGGGATGCGGGTTTGGGGGGTGGGTATTCGGGACCTAGTTATGGGGTGCTTGGGAATGATTTGCAAGCGGGACAGGGAGATGGTTTGCAGTATGGAGCTCTTCCTGCGCCTACCGGTGCTCCTTTGGATCCAATGGGGGTACAAGCTTTCGAAGATTCGTGGAGTCAAGCTGCACAAGGAATTATTAACCAGCATGAAGCTCATCCTGTACCTCGCGCTGGAAATATACGAGAATCGACTCTCTACCATTTCGAGCCATTGCCAGCTTCTCATCTAGAGAAAGTGGCAGAGACGGAATATCGTCGGGAAGGTATGAATACGATTTCTCATCCAGATGCCGGGAATATGTATCCCTACAATCACAATCTATCCGTACCAGAACAGGAAAGTCGAGATGGAGATGAAGTCCGCGATTTATTATCGAGAATTGGAGGGGTGTCTTTTGATGAGGAGATTGGGATGAATCACGGGATGAGTGAGGAGTGGATGGTGGGTGAGGATATGAAAACTTATGAGGAAGAATGGATGGGTATGAGTTCTGCGGAACGGGAGAGGATTATACGGGTTACGAGGGATTTGTTTCCGGAGGGGATGGGGGAGGAGGTGCATGAGGGATTTGATGTGGAGAGTTCGTTGAATTTGGTGCCGGGGTTTGAGAGGGAGGGGGAGGGGAAATGGAGAGGGGATAGGGGGGGAGAGATGGAAAGGGAAAGAGAAGATGAAAGAGAAGAGGAGGAGGAGGAGGAGGATGATGAATTCGAAGGCTCGGTATTAAATTTCCAGGGTATAAAATGGAGAGTGAGGAAACAAAAAAGGACAAATGGGGAGATGGGAAATGGGGTGGAAGGAAAGGGGAAGGGAAAGAGAAAGGAGGAGTGGAAAAGTGATTGGGAGGGGGTGCTTAGAGGGTATACGGATGAGGTTTGGGGGGGATTGTTACCGTTGGTTAGAGAAGCGAGAGAGGAGTTGGGAGGGGAAGGGGAAGGGGAAGGGGAGAAGAGGGACGGAGATGGAGAGGGGGAAGAGGGAAAGGAAATGGGGAATTTGAAGGCGCTGAGGAGATTGGGTGCTGTTTTGGGGCATTTGAGGGGGTTGGGAGGGAGATTTAAGGATGGGCATGGGAATTGGTGTGATGCGGTGGGATGAAATTCCTGATGGTTATCACATTTCTAATGATATTTCATAATTAGAATCTATTTATCATATTATATCATATCATATCAAACAAAGTCCCAACAGATTCTCGGAAAAACTTCTCGACAAAACCCCAGAATAATCAGCTCTCCAATCCCATCCAGCAAATCCATCCAATCCATCCAATCCATCCAATCCATCCAATCCATCCAATCCATCCAATCCATCCAATCCATCCAATCCATCCAATCCATCCAATCCATCCAATCCATCCAATCCATCCAATCCATCCAATCCATCCAATCCATCCAATTCCATCCCTACCACTCAGTCCCAACCTCCTAGTATTCCCTCTCCAATCTCCAATCTCCAATCTCCAATTTCCAATCCCGAAACTTCGATAATACACATGTACTGTACTGTATGTACCTATCTGTTACTTGAAGCCTCCAAAAAAAATTGAACCATTGCCACGCGATGTGATTTTCCAACAATTACCTCATATCTACCTTTCCCAAATCAAAAATCTAATACTCTCTCCAAAGCATTATTTGAATCATTGTATGGGATAGATAGATAGATAAATATACTCCCCTCAATTCCCACTTCCCACTTCCCACATCCACTTCCCCTACTCCTACACACAAAATAATAAACCCATTCAAAAAACACATCACGCCCCGCTTTACAGTACTCGAAAACCTTCACTCTACTCTACTCGAGTATTGAAGCTTCAATTCTCTTTCCACATATATATCAAGATACAGCTCAAGGAAAATTGATAACTGTCACTCATTATACAGCACACAATAAACCAAGACTCAAATTTCACAATCCCCAAACCACACGTATAAAAAGCAACGCATCGAATTAGAATGCTAAAAGCTACCTACGAATATTCATCATATAAAAGTCCTTTCCTGCCTCGCCTCATACCTCAAAAAATGTATCCCATATCTAATATGCCCAGAGGAGAGCTTCACCCTGCATTCTCATGTTCCGGCTGCACCTTAGCTTCGTCTTCCGTTTGATGCAGTCACTTCCCTATCATTTTCTGTTCCCTTCCCATTTCCCTTCCCTTTCCGTTTCTCTCCTTTCATTTCTCTTTTCCTTTCCATCCCGTTCCCATTTTGACCCTACTCGCCCATACCTCAATGCAAATTTCTCGCCAACGAACTCACTACTCGCTACCCGCAAAATACTCCATTCATTAGTCCCCCCATCCCATCCCTCCCTATCCCAAACCCCTTTTGCGAGACGAAGATGAAAATCAAAATGATGAATGAAAATTCATGTTTTGCAGATTTGGATATCCAATAAGTCGGTATACAATAGCAGACGAAACAGAAACACCCCACTGTTTCATTTGTAAATGAATAAATAGCTTGAATAAATAGGAAATGCTGCGTGTCGCCGACGTTAAGAATGAGAGGAAATGTTAATGAAGAACACCAGCCTCTCCCCATGATAGAATAAAATGAAATTAGAAATGCAAAGCAAAGCAAAGTATGCGAACCAAAAAAGCGAGATTTCCTCCATTTTGATTAAGAAAAGTCGCGTATCGTATCGCTGAGATCGTCTCCCGCCATTGACTGGTCTCAATTTTTGTTTTTTTGTTTTCTCTCGTTTTCCTCCTTCCCATCAATCCTCCTTTCTTGTGTCCACACTTTGTAGGTATAGTACACTGCGTCTCATGTCTCGTCAAGTTTTCGAGAAGTCTGATCAACCACCCATTCATGCACTGCGTAAAAGACACCGATACTGATTCACTCCACAATCAGTCCACCTCTTTATCCCACCCCAGACACCTATGTGAACTTTTGTCCCTCCACCTTAGTCTTCTTCGTGACCTGCACCCAAGCTCCAATCTCTTCAACAGCCTTTCTAGGGGCCTTTTTCCTCGTTAAAAGAAATCCTTGAACTTCAGCTGGACTAAATATATAGTCCTCAATATGTTCCGAAAACTGCTTTGCCAACATCTTAAGTTCCCCCTCTTTTAATAGTTCTTCTTCGCCACTCTTCTCAATATCAGCTATTGTGAGGGTCTTCTTTCCCGTGGGAGTGGTAGCTTCTTTTTCAGTTCTAGTTCCAGCACAAGTTCCACTTACAGCAGCAATAGGAGTATCTGGTGGTGTAAGAGGACGATTTCCCGAAAGTGAATCCGAAATTAAATTTGCATACGTCTCCTCAGATACTGGGGTTGGGGTATCGGAAGTTGGGGCGAGAAGAGGAATTTCTTTTTCTTCGTCTCTTTCGATAGGAACTGGTATTTTTGGGACAATAGGCTCCGTAGCTGGTGAGGTAGTAGCGATAAGTTTCTCCCGTGGCGGGTCTTTGGAGTACATTCTCTCAAAGATTTCCTTGATTTGATGACGAGTGGCATTTGTGAATGCAACTTGACAATCTACACGGCCTGGTCGGATAAGAGCTTCGTCTAGCTTTTCGGGATGATTGGTAGTCATCACTAAGACACGACCTTCATGTGAAGCCACACCATCGATGATCTAAAAATTTAGTCAGATTCTCAGACTTCTAAATGCGTGAAGGGCTGTGGGAGCTTACATTCAAGAGACCAGATAATGAGATTCCTTTCTTTTCATCATCATCTTTCTTACCTTTCTTACCTTTCTTGCTTCGTTTACCCTTGCTACGTCTACTCTTGCTCTTGCTCTTGCCCTTTTTTCGTGATTTTTTCGTGACAACTTCGTCTTCATCTTCGCTGCTGCTGCTGCTCTCAGAACTAGGTTCATCCGACGACTCAACTTTTTCTTCATTGACTCGCGTTAGACCTGCGGTGTCGATATCCTCCAATAGTACAATACACCTAGGTGGCAAGTTGGTAAAGAGATTCCCGAGTTCTTCTTCTGTGAGTGTAGGCTCTAGCAAGCTAACAACGTAAATATTCAAACCAAAGACGCCAGCAAGGGCAAATGTCAAGGAGGTTTTACCAGTTCCTGGGGGTCCATGAAAGAGATACCCTCTGCGATAAGGTATACCACGAATGGCATACCAACGAGCAGTTGAAGGGTTCAAGTATTCGTTGATATCACGTAGTACTTTAGTTTTCATAACCTCATTCAAAACAACAGTTCTCATTGGTCGACAAGGTCTTCTCGCTACCTCAATCCAAGAGCTTCGACCTCCCCATGCTCGACGCTCCTTGTTTGCAGGTCGACGAATGACAGTCTTTGCACTGTGATTTCTGTTTGAAAAATCTTTGGCTTCTTGAAGAAATTCCTTGATAGGTATTGTGCTACGACCATAACAAGAGATGAGCAGCACTTGTTGGTCAGATACTGGGTTACCACCATACGTAGAGGACGCAAAGACCATTTTTTCCGATCTTCTAACCCTGAAGTATCTACCATTATGCCAAAAAGTATGATTAGCTCCCATAGACGGCGTGAATTGTGGCTTAGTCTTGGAATCTTGATCAGCAAAATTGAGCCATTGTATGATACCGGTTCCGTCAAGCTGTGTCAAGGTTACTGAGTCCTCATTATCTAGATCCCAATATCCCCGTCGTGCTGTTTCTGCCTGAAGAGAGCGAGAAGGTTTCATTTGGTACTTGTGTGCCAGAAATTCTATAACTTGGTCGTGAATTTCATCTCTGCTACTAATAGAGATATCAGACATCCAGTATGATCTCACGAATGACCATCCCCATGAATGTAATGCATCGAAAGCCTTGTTTCCTAGCCATAGAGCAGCCCATAGAGAGACAAGGACTGTGATATCAAAACCAACGGTTTGTAGAACAATCTTGTGAATGTAGCCATATCCGGGAACGAGATTTTCGAGAAGGGTAGTTGGGAGTAGTCCGCCGAGCAAAGCTGCCGTTGTGGTCGTGTTAGACGACACAGATAAATTCTGGTGCAGAACTTCTAAAACCGCATCGAGATCCATGTCGTTCTATCTCTTCTCTTTGGTTGACTGAGATATGATAGATTGAACGAACAAGTGGAGAAGATGTTTGAGGAAACAGGATGGCGAAGGGGAATGAAGAACGTGAACACTTCAAGAAATAGTGATGAGTGTTGTATAGAAGTGATCTGCAAATTGTATGGTGGGCCTTTGTTGGGCGTAAAGTATGTGTAATATTTGACAGACAAGGTCAATGGTTTCTGTGTTAAACTCTAAAAAAGCACAAATAATAATTCAGCGGAAGGAAAGAGCGCATATGTAGTGTCCACAATGGGACCACGCGGCGCGGTACAAACGGCGTAATGGCGTGTAGTTGCCTCTTCTGATTCACTGGCTTAAATAGAGCCCATACTACGGGTGTGATGTGTTTGAAATATGGTAAGTTTAATTTTAAAGACAACCGGTACCATGTCACTGGGATATCGTCTGGGAACTATCTGCGAATAGGACAACGGAATCGAGAGCCGCACCTTTCTCTTTGAATACCAAGCAACGAATGGGCGGCCACAGCGATCCCTTTTGTAGAGATTAACTTTCAAAGGTTACTAGTGGGGCATGGGGGAACTTTAAGAGAGAGTTCTGACATAACAGTAGGCAACAGGCGCGGAGTAACTTGCTGACTACCTGGTAGTTGTTCTAGGCCCCAATGAGATATAAGGAACCCGATACAAATGTGATGAGTGTAAAAAGGAACAGACAACAAACCCATGTGATTTGCCGCACTAGCTTGATGAATTCCGACGCTGGTACCCGCCTGACAAAAACAGTTGCAATTGTACCATCTGTATGAGTAGCTGGACCCAAAAACCAGGCTGAAGAGAGTTACGTCAAATATGTGGCAATGACTCAAAGGTGTGGAATATGCAAGGAGATGAAGAGGCGCTGGCCACGTCGTCCTGGAAAAATAGACCGGATGAAAAGACAATAGCAGATACAAAGTATGAACAAATTTACACGCAAGAGTCATTACAATGGCAAAAGTTCGCATCAGGTCCAAATGCTTGGGAGTTGGTCGAAGTCTCTTGTCAGCATATCTTTGGTTGGAGAATACGAGCTTATTGAAAATATTGAACTAATTTCCAATGTCTCAACCGTTGGACTTTCCAAAAAGGTCGGTAGTATCAAAACTGCTAGACCATGGCTTCTTGGGTTGTCTTTAATGCAGTTGGTGAAGTTGGTTCGTAGTGATTGTGCAGAACATGCCGTTTACCGCACCAAAGAATCGATGGAAGAACAGAATTAGGAGAGCTAATCAGAATTACTCCCACCCACTCTAAATGCATTCTCATGGCATGTCCTGCAACATTTCTCTTTTTGATTCGTTGTCGCTGCTGCTTGTATTCCCCACCGTTTTCTGCAAGCAAACATACATTTACCTCTTTGCCTTATTCGTGTCTCATTGGAAAACTTGGTATGTTCACATGATGACGGGATTGGAGAGATGAAGATGATGGGAGGGTTGAAAAATAAAACCTTCATTGGCTCCCAGGTTAATCATAATAGGCTGAAGAATCCATTGGTCCTTTACCTACCCGGGCTACACGATGTATGTAGGAGGGAATTCGAGTTTCTGCGTTATGAAGATTCTACATACGACGAATGATGAGGGAGCGAGGGAGGTAAAGACCTGACTGAACGACTGAGAGTACGTACGAGCTCACGAGATATCGGACATTGTTACCGCTAACGGCGAAATATTGATGAATCCCCGTGCACATGTAAGCAAATTGTGGATTGTGCTCAGCCCTTCAAAACCTCATTGACCTGTCAGCCTTGTCATCAAAAACGTCCAATCCCGGATATCAATATCACTCGCTGCATGATCCATCTTATCTGTTCTCTACTCATGCATATCATTCTACCTTAACTAAGCGCTTTCTCTCATACATACCAGCCTATCGATTGACTCGATTTGTAAGCTCGCATATCACTTCTGTGCCGATAAATCTGGTACTGTAGCTAGCTCTATTGTGGAGAGCTTCTCGTATAAACAAGTTGCGGCTCAACCGACTATCGTTACATCAGTGTCTTAGATTTCGTTTACATAAAGACAACATTGCCCGTGGAGTACGCGAACGGCATCTGCGGCTTTGAGCTGCTCAAGACTTTCTAAGAAAACTCTCGTTCAAGATGATGTCCGCTACAAATGAAGACGATCCTTTCCTCCAAGTACAAGCGTAAGTCACTCTAGCCTTCTTCTGGGTCTTATTACCCTGCAGCTTTACCCCTCCGGGCCCTCTGGGGATTGTGAGTTTCTCCGCAGTCTGCCTTACCCCTCAAACATCACACCCACTCTCTTCGCGCAAGAGGCCTGGGCCTGCAACCTTCCTCTGCGACCATAGGTATGCAATGCATACACATTCAGCCCTCTACTCTCCTCACTTTCCAATCGTTTCGCGTGAAATTATCTTCTGAACTCACGCGCATACTTCAATCCCCGCATGTGCTTCAGGCCGGCGCATACTCTGCCATTCAACATATTCCTAATCGGCCTAATTCATTACAACTCCCTCACACCATCGGCTAACACAACTCTCCAGCGATGTACACCACCAACTTTCCCTTACACGCCCCCTCTTTACCTCCTACCTGCGTATCCACTCTCTAACCAAATCTCCACATCCAACTCCCGAACTCCTCTCCGCCCGCTCCGACCTAACCACCTCCCTCTCCCTCTTAACCGACGACCTTCAGGACCTTCGCGATTCCATATCCGCAATCCAAGCCGATCCCTACAAATATGGTTTACAAATCGAAGAAGTATCTCGTCGGGTACGGATGATAGGGGAGATTGGAGGTGAGGTAGATGACATGCGGGAAGAGCTTGAGAAAACCATGGGTGGCGCATCATCCATGGCTGGAGGGAATGCATACAATGATGACAATACCGGCTCACCTCTAGACGATGACTATGCCGCGGAATTCGAACACCAACAACAAATGCAAATGCTAAAGCAGCAAGATGAGCAACTCGACAGTGTATTTCATACCGTAGGGAACCTCCGTCAACAAGCCGACGACATGGGCAGGGAATTAGAAGAACAAACGGGAATGTTACAAGAAGTAGAAACGGTGACCGATCGAGTGAGCGGGAGACTGCAAGGAGGAATGAAGAGGATGAATAAATTAGTCAAAGAGAACGAGGATGGACTGAGTAGTTGTTGCATCGGGGTGTTAATTTTCGTGCTGATTTTGTTGTTGGTGCTTGTGCTTATTTTGTGAAGAAGGTGGGAAGGCGAAGGGCAGGCGGAAACAAGGTTGAAGGTTGCGGGAGAGGAGTTTTTCTTTATTTGAAATTATCCCATCTAATTTTCCATTTTCTGTCTATCTTTCTGCAATCAGAAAAAGCATTGGAGTTCAGGCGTTAGACAGAGGTATAATACACAAGGAGCTCACGAGCTGATCAGCATCGATCAGCGCAGGAAAGACGGAACGGAAAGGCAAGGCAAGGAAAGGAAACGAGAGTAATAAACTGAAACTTAGAGAGCGAGCAGCAAGCAAGAAACTCAAAATTTTCCAGAAACTTGAGAAGCTCTAGGAGCTCAAAACGGGCGTATGCATATATAGAGAGATCAAAGATGAAGAAGAGAACAAATACAGTACTAAAACCTGCGCTCCAACAAAAGAAAGTGAAAATCCAATCAAGTGCCCTACATCGAGGTTGGTTGAGATCTTATTTTAATACTTTCACTTCCATTTTCGCTGCTGGTGCTCTGAGCTCTGAGCTCTTATGTCCTGCATATTCATAGCTATATCCACAGCGGATCCAAAAGTCAGCATACCCATCACACACATATACATATACATGCACATCCATATTGTTATTCTCCCGCAAACCCAAATCAACCCCCCCAAAGAGCGCAGATCAGCCATACATATCTACTTTTTATTTATAACTCATTCTCATTGATTTACTTTCATGCTAGTACTGATGAATTGCACTACCAATGCACTACTCCTTCCTAAAAGTTTTGCAATCCCAAGCCCATTCCATGCACGCATGTAGACACACATACATGCTTATTTTCCTGTTTATTTTCCTATCAAGACCCCCCCGTCCTACCACTGTGCATCCATAACACTCATCTTCCGCTTCAAGTCCCCTTTCTCCCTGTCCCATAGCCACAACCAATATCAACCATCCATAAATATCACACCAATTCAGCCACACCAATCCCAACCTGGCAAAATTGATCTCCATAATCCGACCATTTTTCTTCCATCCGTGACCTCAAGAGAGAAGACTAGCCTGGTCGTCGATAAAAGAATGATCACTCGTTTCTGGATCACCATCCAATTCCTTTTTCGGTACCGTCGAGGTCGATGACGAAACGAGTCCGACAACCGCAGTTGTAGAGGTGCCGCTCACTGAACGATTAGCATCCGTATCGAAACCGAAATCGAGACCCGACATGGAATTGCTCTGAAAATGTATCTCGTCAACGAATGAACTCTGAACAAACGAGACCAAACGAGACTTAACAAGAAAGAGCTATGTGTAGATATAGGGATGAGAAAATATGCTTGCAGGCGAGAGGATTAACGGACGGGAAGACGAAGAGGACGAAGATTATGAAGACAAGGTACGCGTGAGCCAACAATTCTAATAAAGACAAATGACAACTCCCCACTCCCCCAGCAAGGCTCCTTGAAAACAGAAACAAAGCGGCATGGTACTAACAACAATCATCGCTGGCTTCTGGAAGATCCTACCGAGTTCTGTCGATCGTGAGTAGGTCTTCGCTCTCGACGATCTCCATCTTGAAGTTTCAAGGAGTCTAGCCTCTTCTGATTGTCCTCTGTCATCGGGTCCACATCATCTGCTCGTAAAGGGGTTGTTTTGGTTCTTGAAGGAGAAGCTGGACCTGTAGGTAAGGCGGCTCCATTAGTCTTCGACCTTCCTGCTTGTTCCTCCAAAACCTTCCATTTGTTTCCTCTGGCTTGTTCTCTAGCTTCAGCATTGTTCTGGTGCTCTGTGTAATCGTGAGAGCAATCATCAAAGAGTTGAGGGTTGATCTCCATGAATAGCTTCATTGCGTTGTAAACCATGCCGTGGATCGTTCTAGATTAAATGGATCAGCTTAAGTGAGCTTTTCATACAAATTCGGAAAGTTTCTCACCTGTTCCAATGTCCTTTGGAATTCTCATATAATGGTGCGAACATAATTGGTAAGATTATCTCAACATTGTCGCTGACAAGATTGCAAAAGTATTCGTTGTTCCAGAAGTATAACGCACGTTCTGCAACTTGAAAATGTGGACTTGCAACTGATTTCGCCAGTTGATGGAAAAGAGGCTCCTGAACTTTAGCGAATTCTGCTGGATCCATTACCTCGAAGATATCCTCCACTTCATTAAGGAACATAACTTCTTTCGTGCTGTTGACTTTAGGCCAATAGCGGAGCAAGCCCAAAACAACCTAAAATAGTGAGTAAATTGAATCTGAAATAATGGTGCTTAACATACCTCTTCTGTTAAAGCAGCATCCTTTTCCAGGAATTGAACAATGCAGTATGCAAGTTGAGGATGATACATGCTCAGACTCTTGACTTTATGTAATGGTATTAAGACTCTCGTCAAAAACAGTTTGTGCTCTTCCTTTAATGGCAAAGCAAAACCATTAATAATAGACCCAAGAATCTCCAATAGCTCAGCAATACCATTAAAACGTTCCGTCTCATAAACAAATTGAAAGAATACGTTGTTGATAGATCTTCTAATGTATGACCGGAGGTTGAGAAATTTTCCATATATCCTGTGAAGGGTTGTCTTTAAGAAGTCTCGCTCGCGGGGGTCCTCAGAATCAAAGAGTTCAAGTAACTGTAATACAAAACTGTGATCTATGAATGCCTTCGCAATATTGGTGTTAAAGTCTTGACTCTCGATAAATCTCAAGAAGAATTCATATACAACTTGAATATGCGGCCAAGCAACTTCAAGAACTGGTTCGTCTTCCTCGGGGTCGAACGCTTCACCTTGAGGGTTCATAGGGGGTGGTATGGGACGGAAAAGATTTTTACTGAACATCTCAACGACCTTTGGATACATAGCTTCAGTGATGACTTGTCTATTGTTGGCAACGTAATCAAGAAGTTCATGAAGAGCTAGTCTTTTGATTTCCTTGGACTTCATATCCGCGCTTGCATCGTTGAAATCAAATATGACATTACATTGATCAATCTTTTGCATAAAGAGATCTTGACGGCGATTGGGAGGTACCTCGTGGAAACCTGGCAGCTTTTCCAATTCGCGGAGGGGAGAAATATCAAATCTCGAAGAGTGTTGTCGCTTTGGTGTTCTGATGCCTTCTGGGACATCCTTTGGAGTTGTTTGTAACCGGTCGAACATTGATGACTTCGCACCAGCCTTGGGGGGGGCGAGGTCATGCGGCATTGTTTCTGCGGCACCTGGAGGAGGGATGTGCTGAAAGAAAGACATTAGTACACAGAAGAGGATCCAAGTGTGTGGCGTAACTTACTGGTGCACTTGGACTGATAACGACACTAGGAGGAAGTGCCCCATGACGATTTGGTGTCCCAGGACTGGGGGAACCTCCTCCTGTGTTGAATCGATCCGGAGCAGACATTGCACCAAGAGCTGCCGGGTTCAATGGTGGTTGCACAACTACACCAGTTGAAGATGTACCATCATTAGGAGGCAGTGGTTTATTTCGCAAGTCATTAAGTGTCGTACTCGAAGATGAGGGTGTTACTGCAGGCGATTGTCCCGCTCCCTGTGAATTAGATTGCGAAGGTGAAGATGTGCCATCTTTTGATGATTCCCCCTTCTTAGACTTTGTTTTGTTTGGATCTTTTGAGCGCGAAAGCTGCTCATGCTGAATGGGTTAGCAGATGATCACTTTCAAAATGATACGCTTGCTGTATGGGGAATCTTCAACATCAAAATGACTTACAACCCTCTGTCTGAAGCCTTTCATCTTGGACAACTACTCTCAAGAAGATGTAAAAGACACAAAATCTCGATTATTTGATGCTCTTTGGAATTTGCCGGTTTGCGAAACCTCTTGTTCTTATCCACCAACAATTTCAATTTCGAAGTAAAAAGGTCGCGTCACTTAAGATTGTGGTGGTGAATGTGCCGATCCTATTCTTGATGAGGCTATAAAGACTGCGGTAAATTACTCGATAGCAGTGGTTTAACTCCCGTTTGTCGCTGAATGGCACCTAATACAATAATGGATATTCAACTGCAACGACTCGTTGATACGCAGATGAAAACCTCCAGTAGCACCCTACTGGTGTAGCTTTAATTCCTTAGTTGTAAATTGATAGTGCGATGTCGGCAGGTTTTCATAAGAGATAATGGGAATTGCCAATGGTTTCTGGTTGGTCTGCCGAAGTTCTGTATTCCAAAGGTTCGTGAGGGGCTGGCCGCGGTTGTTGACTTGTTGCGCAAGTGTAGGTAAACAAGTTCTACCAGAACGATATCTGTCAGTGCGAGTTGGGAGAAGATAGGGAGAGTAGGATAGGTTTAAACACACAAACAGGCCAACAATGACGATTGACATACACGGTCGATCGTACAGCGGCAGCGGCTGTTGAAGTAGGTCGAGGCTAATCCCGGCGGTGAATATGGTACTCCTCCACGCCGAAGCACAAGCTATCAAATTATTGAAGAAAGCCAACGCGTTTGGGCGCTTTCTATGGACAGCAAATTAATTGGCAGAAGGATAATAATTGGTCGGGTGATAAGATCTTGGAATGAGTTGTTAAACTCCTTCAAGTAGAATGGTTAATAAGGAGAGTTTTATTTATTTGGCCTTCATTTCAAAGAGTCTTAAACAACACAGCAGCAGCATCAACAAGTGCGAGTGGTCCCCTCAGTAGATTGAATTAGCGCAGGTTAGTGGTAACCTAAATATTAAGGCAATCAAATCAAAGATAATTGACTTTGGGGCTTTCACATTTTCACGCTTTCACTACCTAGGTAGGGAAGGTACTACATAGGTTCGGAAATTTCTTTGCTGCTGTCCGCGCCCCGGTGACGTGAAAGACTTAAATTACGGCTCAAGGTTAAGTCATCATCCAAGCTCCATGGAGGGAAAAATCATCTAAAAGTCGTCAACGGCCAAACGAGAAGATAGGATATCTGTCTGGGTATTGATTGGTCCAAGCCAAACTTAAACATTCCCCATATTGAGTAGGTACTAGAACCTCGTTGGTCCGAAGAAAAGTCATCTACCAAATTCATGGGTTTTGATAGAAGATCTAAAGATTTCTCTAGTACTGGGTCACTGGCTTGTTCAGGTGATTCGCATAAACAATTCAACAAGGCCAAGAGAAGGGTAATAGCAGGATGGCCGAATAGCGGCATTGAATCAAAACAGTTCAAGGATCAAAAATAAAAAAGACCCATTTTGCTTTATAATCCCGGTAACTTTTTCTCGACTTACAAAAATATGGAAGACTACGAAGATATGGATGATGTGGATTTTGAGGAGGAGGTTGAGGTTGGAGGGGAGGATGGTGAAGAATATGAAGAGGCAGAAGGCATGGAAGTGATTGAGGAAAATGACGAGGAGGAAGATGGAGATTTTGACTACGAAGAAGAAGACCAATCTGCTCCAGTGTATACAATCCCTCCAAGGGAAATCGTCGCTGTCGAGCATCCATTGATTGTTAAGAATCTTGAAAATGGTATCAAAACTTTTGGACGTCAACCACAATGGAATAAGGTACGTGGGAACTATTTGATACCCTGAATAGCCTCGATATTCTACTATCTACATGACGAGTAGATCTCGTCTCATGACAGCTGTGAAATCATAATATTTATATTAACTATGGGCTAACAACTTCAACAGATTCTTGAGGGCACTGAAGATGAATGCATTCCGCTTTTTCTTCGAATCAAGGATCCCACATGCGAACCAATTCTATCTTACAATAGCATCACCAACAACGTTCTCCTCAAGATCACCGTGCCGAAACGTACTGGTAGAAAGCGCAAGCGTGGGTCTCAAGATCCTTATACTGACGATGGGCGTTCAACGTCTCAGGCTACCAATGAAAAGAATTCGTTCGGTGAAAATCAATCTCACTCTTTAAAAGACAAACCCAATAGTATACTGAGAAAGCTTCGAGACAATGTTGGTAAATACACTGTCGAGGCTGCAGGAGCCATAGAACAGAGTCATCGCTATAGAGGTAGTGGTGACCTTCTTCCCTCATGTTTGCAATACATTAACAAGATCCAGGACTTTCCGATTATCATCAATCCACATCTAATGCAACTTTCATGTCACATTTCAAAGAAACTGCATTCTCTGCCAATTGTAAGTCCTCATATAAGTCATATTTCCAGAATGTCGCTAACTTTCACCAGGGGGAAAGATGCGAGAATTCAAGCTCGGTACTGACAAAGGCTGGAAACCAAATGAAGAAATTGTTCCTCCACCCACATTCACTCACCATCCATTACCATTCAACTGGGGATACCGACAAAATCCTTTAATCTCAACCGAAGTGGATGCAGAGACAGGAGAAACAAGTATAGTGAACCGTTCGAAAATGCCAAAGCTCGAGATGCAGTATGTACATTGCGACGAAGACGAAGACGTCCCCACAAAACCATTCCGTGAAGTTCCAGATGACCCTGTCCTCAAAGACTTCGTAGCCGCACTTCAACTAGCCATGAACGAACGTCCAATTTGGACTCGTCGTGCATTGCAAAATCGTCTCGCCAACGAGCCAGGATATTATTTGATGAAACCTGCACTTCAATATGTGGGTTACCAATTCCGAAGCGGTCCTTGGCGTGATGCTCTCATAAGATATGGAGTTGATCCCCGCAAAGATCCATCTTGTCGAATTTATCAAACGATTTTCTTTAAGTTATACGAAGAAGATGAGCGTGCTCCCGATGGTCAATGGAAAGATATGCGGAGTCAATACACAAGACATCAAGTTTTCGGCACCGGGGATTGTCCTTCGCATATGTTCAATGGCACTTCTTTAACTCTCGACGGTAAAGTGTGGCAAATTTGCGATATCACAGATCCCCTTCTTGCTCCTCTTATACAAAATGCTCCGATGGCCAGGCAATACGATAACAACCATGACGGCTACTACAATAACGGAACTCTTGCCAAGATCCGAGCTATCATGAAAACAAAGTTGATTGCCATCCGCAGCAAAAAGACAATCCCCGAAAATGCATTCGACGTAGCGCTCAGCATACCAGATTTCGTAGAGGGAAAACATGGAAAGAAAGTCCATGTGCCAGTACCAGATATGCGATTAACAGAAGAAGAAATTGAAAAATTGAGAGAAAAGGGTATAATTAGTGGAATGAGTGGGAAGGGAGTGAGACATCTTGATTCAAGGACAAAGAGGAAACAATATAGAAAGGGCGGAAAGTTGCCAATAAAAGCTAAGAGAGCGAAACAATATGGAATGATGAAGGGACCGTCAACATCAAAACCTAAATCTTCGACCACGGCAGCGAAACCGAAACAGAAGAAGACAACTGGACCTTCCGATAAGGATACAGATGCTACGCCGGATATTGCTGCTGTGCATGTACAGGGAGATATCTCGACGGAAGATACTATTAAGATGATGGATGCAGAGGGAGAAGACGATGAGATCGAAGTCGACGCTGAGAGAGAAGATGACGATGAAGAAGCAGAGGAAAACGAAGACGAAGGATTAGTCGATGCGGAATTGGGATCCGAAAGCGAAAGTACAGACTCAGAAGATGATTCTGAGGCGGAAAAGGAAAAGGAAATGTTTATTAAGAATTATGAAGCGAGGATGGGGGCCGAGAATGCTTCAAATAATTAGTATGTTGGCTGTCTTGATAGGTTTTCTCAGCCGCTTGATACCAAGGAGGAAATTGTATGATTTCGAGGGTTCTCTGTCGCATAAGCTGATACCACATTGTCATTTCAAGCAATCGAGTTACCTGACTTGATCGGGCTTCACGTAGATCGTACCAACATTTCACTGACACTTTTTATTGTCGAGTCGTTTGATAGACCGACGTGTTTGATGTTGAAGATATTCAAAAAGACAAGCAATCTGTAGTCAAGGGGCTTTTAAAGAACGAATGAATGACCAACAGAGTACTCATTAGGCGAGTTTGCTCCCTAAAAATACATTGTCTCAAATGTATCTGACAAACCTGATACCTTCTCTTGAACTGTATCACATGGTTAGATGTTCTAAATCATCAATGTGATAAAACAAAATAGGTAGCCCTAACGCATCCACAGCTCTCTCATTGTGTCTTTGAAACGGAACTCTAATTATCCTCCCACACGACTCTACCACCTCCCATGTCGGGCACTCTTAGTGAAAAGAAGAAAAGGAAGAAATAAAATCTTCATACTCGTCACACGGTTGATTTTATACTATGTTAAATGGCCCGGTGTGTTCGGGACGAAAAAGATGATTCATTTCCAGACAGTAGGTAAACTTCCTGTCCATTTATACCCCCCCTGAATTCATTTATATAATGCATCACGCGTGTGAGATACAACTTCTGCCCGCCTGGTCATTCAGGATAGGAAATCATTTTGTTATATCTATTCAATCATTGCTCACGCGGTATTTCCAGGTGCTCAAATCACCTGATTTCAAGTTCTTTTCAAGAGGACTAATTCACGAGTTTTATTGTTATGCAAGTATAGATGTGTTAAGACACTGTATTCGAAGCTCTTGTGATCTTTAAGTAATGTCGCTCCGCTAGGCCTTTTCGCTTCGCTCTAGAGGATGATGGAAAAGGAAAGGAGAAAAGATATAATAGATCAGATAAATCGAGCGTAGCGAGGACGGGGGCTTGGGGGCTTGCCCCCATAGAAGACTGGGAGATTCAGGTATATGGATGTTTAATAGCTATTCAACAAGACAAGATGAAGAGAGCTTTCGTGGATACTTGTTACGGCGAAGAATGAGTAGGCTGGGGCTTTGACTTATGGACGAATGGAGAAAGGAGAGATGAATTGATGCAAAGATATATCGATCGTACTACAATCGTATCTTCTTCATTGAGCTTATAGAAGAGGAGTTACAAATGGAAAGGTCCACAACTCGGTAGCTAGTACCTAGAGGCTGCCACATGTTTGTAAAATGGTTGGAATAAATCTAGCTTTTAGTTTCTGGTAGCAAGGCTTCAAGACTGATTGGGCTCGCATATTCCGTATTTTCTTTTTGCATGATACCTTTCTTATCCATGGATAGTTGGGGTATGGAGGGGCGAAGCTGAATCAGTATAATAAAGAAGATAAACTAGACACACGTACCTAGAGGTGATGGCAGTATTATATAAGCAGCAAGATATGTTTGGTTGCTTACCTACAGCCCAGCCCAAGTTCTTTCATGCCCGCATTTGGGTCATCATCGATTGAATGAATGAATGAATGAATGAATGAATGTCTCGTGTCAGTAGGATTCAAGAACGAACTATAAGAACTTTTCTACTTCCAAGTTCTCTATATTATTCAAAGAAGAGTGCCTAGATCTCGATGAGGATGATGATCACCAGCTTCTTACTTACAATTAGAACATAAGTCTTTTGGGGAATTGTCTTCATAATTATCAATTTATGGCCATGATCCTCGATCGTATAATAATAAGTTATTAACTGAGTTGACTTGAAGAAAATAGATTTTGAAAGCCTTAATTTTGTCATCAGATTGGGAGGAAAACCTTAAATTTTCTTCCCTCATGATTTAACAGCAGCGTGGGCCTCACCTCAAGATTGTGCTGCATCTCATAGGTACTGGACTGGACCAGGTAATCAATCAATAATCAAAATCTCATAACGAAGGTTCAACCCCACGAATTTCGATAAATAAAACGTACAACCTCAACTCAGCCTACAACCTTCAATCCCAAAAACCCTTACCATACCATACCATACCATACCACCCACCCCTTCGACCTCCCCCCCCTCCAACACAACACGAGAAACAACAAACAACCTTCTTAAAAATAAAAATAAAATAAAGCCAAGCCAAGCCCAATAACAAGATTGATTTCCAAATATTCAATCTTGTCGCTTTCTTTATCTTGCCACCTATCGAGGGTTTCTATAGCTTGATTTATCTCGTACCTTGGGTAGTCTTACCGCACACACCGTCGATAATACTTGATTACAACCTTTTTACAACTCCACCACCATCACCTACCCTAGCACGTACAGGATACCGCAGCTTTCCTTGCATCACAGATCGGCCGTAAAGTCAAACTTACACATTTTGACGCGATCGAGTTATCCTTTCAACATCGACTGCCTTGTCCGAATAGCCTGCATTAGGAAGAGGATATAATCTCCTCCGCACAGCTCGTAAAAGATGGTAGAAGGGGAACCGAACTCTCCAACTTGGAAGTTCACTCAGTTAGTATCCTCCTGCCATTATACTCTTGTCTATCTGCCACTCGAGAATTCATGGATGAGGGGTTCTCAATGTGTTTGGTGGATTGATTGCATCACCACTTTGAAACCAATGCTAACAAATTGTTATCAGATGCTTTGGTGATAAAGGCGATGTCGAAGATATAACAGAAGGTATGCCAACTTATCGTCCTATATCTTGATGGCGCTTTTCATTCTCTGCGGATAGTGCAAACCTCATTCTATATATACTAACACGATGGATTACAGCGGATATCATATCGACAGTCGAATTCGATCACACCGGAAATTATCTTGCTACAGGAGACAAAGGAGGACGAGTTGTTCTTTTTGAAAGAAATGAGACGGTACGAATTCCAATTTCTGGTCTAGACCGTGCAAGCCGCCGAAATGCTGACGCTATCATAGAAAAAAACATGCGAGTACAAATTCCACACAGAGTTTCAATCTCACGAGCCCGAGTTCGATTACCTCAAGTCATTAGAGATAGAAGAGAAGATCAACAAGATCAAATGGTGCAAACGACAAAACGCCTCTCATTACCTGCTCTCAACGAACGATAAGACTATAAAGTTATGGAAAGTGTTTGAGAAGTCACTGAAAGTGGTTGCAGAGAACAACCTTTCCCATGATTTGACTCCTGGAAATCCCGCAGGAGGTGGTGGAGGTGTTCGACCCATATCAAACGTTCACTTCAACAGTGCTCACGACCTGAAGTTACCCCGCCTTACTCATCACGACACTGTTGTTGCCGCCGTACCACGTCGAACATATGCAAATGCACATGCATATCATATCAACAGCATTTCAGTGAACAGTGACGGGGAAACATTCATTAGCAGTGATGATTTGCGAATAAACTTATGGAACTTGAATATTCAAGACCAAAGCTTCAATATCGTAGATATCAAGCCCGCCAACATGGAGGAGCTTACTGAAGTCATCACGGCTGCGGAGTTCCACCCCCAAAGTTGTAACTGGTTCATGTATGCAAGTTCAAAAGGAACAATCAAGCTTGCAGATATGAGAGAGAGCGCTCTCTGCGACCAACACGCAAAGCGTAAGTGCCGTGTCATTGTTCTTTGAATTCAATTTAGCTTACACCATTTTTAGAATTTGAACAGGAGGAAGATCCATCTGCTCGATCGTTTTTCTCGGAGATCATATCATCCATTTCTGACGTCCGATTCTCTCATGATGGTCGATACATCCTTTCACGTGATTATCTCACAGTCAAAATCTGGGATGTTAACATGGAGAGACAACCTGTCAAGACTATTCCAATCCACGAGCATCTTCGACCACGTCTTTGCGATACTTACGAAAATGATAGTATCTTTGACAAGTTTGAGGTCGTATTCTCTGGTGATGCCAAGAATGTCATGACAGGTAGTTATAACAATAACTTTATGATTTACCCATCAGATCCCGATAAGGAAGTGGAGGTGGTTCTCCAAGCCGATAAATCGGCTTTTAAGGCTAAGAAGGTCGGTGTTCCCACACCAATCAACCCATCTGGTAGCCCAACCGCCGCAAACGGTAAAAAGGGCAACTCGAGGGCAGGTAGTCCAGCTGCTGGTGTTGGTGGTCAAGGGGGAAGGATGAAGAAAGAAACAGACGCAGACCAAATCGATTTCAACAAAAAGATATTACATATGAGTTGGCATCCTTTCGAAGACAGCATTGCCATTGCTGCAACGAACAATGTGAGTGGTATATACACAATTTGCCTAATAGCATCTGCTAACTATTCAACTAGCTTTTCGTTTTCTCCGCATTGTAGAGATTGGCAACACGCGGAAGCTGTCTTCAGGTCATATTCCATTTGCGTTTTAAGTGTGTACTGGCTACAGCAACCAGCCCAGCGTTGTCCTTGAGACCTATTCATATTCGTGGCATAGTTAATTTTACGTCACGAAAAAAGTATTATCATTGAGTAGCGAGACTGCTACACTTCATGAGTGTTGCAATAGAGGGTGACGCAGAAATAAGCGAGGGCTGGTGAGTTATCTATTGGAGACTGTTTCTTTCTCCAATTACCTGAAGCTCCTACAATAGTTTTCAGGTTAAGTTGTTCAAGGCAATGGTGTGAGATGTGCCTAGAAGCAACTTTTTGATGATCGAAGTAGCCTAGTGTAGCCTAGTCTAAATCACAAATGAATAATGCATGAAGTTCTGAATTAATTGTATGTTTGTTAAATCGATAGCTAGACCGCGTTTCCTTGTCAGTCCACGATCAAAACATGCCCCTCCTGTCTTTGGGTCAAAGCACTAGACAGCAGAGTGAAAGTGCGAGAGCCGAGCCGAGTTGTGTGTCACGTGATAGTTCCGCTAAATCCACCCGTATAACGGATCAATCCTACCCCCAAAAAAAGTTCGTCAAGAAATTTAATCCACAGAAGCTTTAGACCTCCAACCTTCAACCACCGACAATCCACACGACTCCAAGTTTCAATTCCGTATGTATGTCCCTGAATCGCTTTAATCACTCTAGCTCTTTTCCCCACTGATCTCTCTTGCGCAATTCATTTTCTTTCGCACATGCGCTAACAATTCATCATCAGATTTTCACCTCCACTCCCCCAAAACTCACTATCGTCACTCAACTCAAAAAGTCCTCATCAAAATGCATCTTATGTACACCCTCGACGCGGCTGGAAAGCGCAAGTACACCTTGAAGAAGGTGATTGGAGGCGAGGTTACCAAGAGTGCGCATCCCGCGCGATTCAGCCCGGATGATAAGTATTCGAGACATAGAGTTACGTTGAAGAAGAGATATGGATTGCTTTTGGTGCAGCAGAGTGAGTGGTTTTTTCTTCTTCTTCTTTTTGGGGGGTATTGGGGAAGGGAAGAGTTTGAGGGGCTGGAGGGGGTTTATGGGGGAAGAGAATAGAAGAAGGAGGAGGATGGGATTGCAATTGGAAGCAAAATTGGATGAGAGAAGTACTTGCTAACACGTGCGCAACCAGAGGATCTCAAGGTTTTGGGCCAATAAATATCTCACCACTTCTCGAGATACAGTTGGGGAGCTACTTGTCAAGACATGACTAGCAGGCGAAGCGGAGGAAAGAAGGAGAAAATGACAAATATGTGCACAACACGCGCCTGTGTTCAATCGTCAAAATGTGTAGGAAGGGAAAGGAAAGGCAAGGCTGAATTGAATAATTGGCTGCGAGGAAGCTCAGGCTAGTGGTTGAAAGGGAATGGGTGGTTGATAGGGAATGTGCGGAGTATACTGGCGTTTCTGGACGAGGAATTCTTATATCTATCTGTTGGTTCTTCGTGTGTAGGAGAAATAGAGAGAAAATTCGATTTCTGTTGGTGGTAATTGAAGACGAAGGGATTGCAATTTGCAGTTTGCTTCCAATTCCATACTCTTCTTTCTCGCTATTAAGATTAAATTGTTTTTCTAGCACTGAATCAAGGAAGTTCACAATTTCAAAAGCATGCTTGCGATGAGTCTATAAAAAAGTGTTTGGTGCAAGTATTTGAATCGATTTTGGGGGGAATCAATTTTTGAGATTACTGTTACTAATACTATTCTACCTAATGTCGTTTCCTTGAATTGACATTCTTGCCCGCTCCAACTTTTGGTCTCCCACCAGCTCTTCCGCGATCTCCCGTCAAGATACTAGGTAGATAATCTTCATCCATAAGGTCTTTTTCCTTTCTCCTCTTTTCCGTCGCCATTTCTCTCACGTATTCTTTTTGATCCTCCGCCAATATCAAATCATTACCCCATCCTCCTTTACCACCCCCTTTAATATTCTTTCCATTCGCTGTCCCGGCAACTGGTTTGGGAACACTGTATACATTTCCTCTATTATTCCACTGCATATTTTTCTTGAGGTGGATTTTCACCACTCCATCTTTATCAGTTGAGCAGGAGGTACGAAGGAGAGTAGGTTTGCCGCAGCGAGAACAGAATTGCCGGGTCATTTCTCGCGTGATGGAGAAACAGGCGTGGCATCTTAGAACCCAGGTTTTGAGCTGACGGATGCGTTGGAGAGAGGGCGAGAGGAGATTGAGGTTCATACGTAACATGACGTTTTGCATGGCGTAATCGGTGGTGATGGTTGCTACTTGGATGGTTTTGGATTCTTCTTGGGGAGAGAAGGAGGAGTTTGTGTCTTTTTGTTGGTGCTTTTTTAGGTTGGAGGGGGTGATCCAGCCTTCGCCGTCGGATTCGGCGTCGGATTCGGAGGCAGGAACTTCTTCTATGGTTTCTGGAATGGTTTCGGGCTCTGTTGGGGAAGTTGGTTCTTGAGTTTGTTCCTCTGTGACTTCATCTTTGGTCGATTCTTCGGTGACTGCATCCTCTGCTAGCTCTTCTGCACTCTTTGCCTCATAGACTGTTGATATATGGGTAGCCTCTAATGCTTCCTCAATGGGCTGTATTTCCACTTTAGATTCTTCTGTTGCTTGAGGTATCGATGTTCCCCATGCGCCTCTGGTTTCGATTGCTGGTTGCGCCGCGACATCTGTAGATGTTTGTGGTGCCTCTATGGCATCGGCAGGTCTTTCGCCACTTAATGATGCGGGAGGTGCTCCATTTAATCTCTTTTGTCCTGGTACACTTCGCAATCTCCAATCTCCATGATTTCGTTCACATTCAAGCTCATATGCTAAAGCCATCAAATGAATATCTTGTCTGCTGAGTACTTCCAAATCACCCGTTTTCCGCGCGAATTCAGTTATAACTCTAATGCTAGCTGATCTGGGCGCTCTTAATTTGAGAAAAGGTAATAATGTGGTCTCGAATCTGGCTCTTGTAACGGCATCTTTGATTTCGTCGATAACGAGGGGGATTGTGTAGAGGATCTCTGCTTGGCCAAGAAGCGTAGAGACTGAAGGGTCATTCTTAATAATTGGTCCTGCGTCAATGATAAGACTATGTATAGGTTTGGTAGTATTTGTAGCCATTTTGAAGTCTATAATCTCGATTCTCTGTGTAATGCAATGCAATTGTCATGGCGGGGTGTGCGATAAAGATTATCGAAAAAAATAAAATACTGCCGGGCGGTATCGATAAGCGAAAAAGATATTGAGACACGTGATTCATTCCCTTTTCTAGTGTTTGAGCGGAAAATTTTGTTCATCTTGAAAATTTATTCAAGAAGACTTCCTCAACTTCAACTTCGATTTTTGATATTTTTGATATTCATAGACCGTGGAGTATTTCTCTCTTTAAATACGAACTCCAAAAAATTTAATTTGGAATCCAAATTCAACAATTTCGATTTCCAACCCCCACATTTTCAACCTTTAAAATGTTCTCCAACAACTGGCGTGTTAAGCAAGACACTCCTCAAAGCCCAAGCGGCGAAGAGAGAGTATCTCCTTGGTCCTCTTCAAGAAATCGTGGAGGTGGTGGTAAGGATGGTGGTGATCGACCAACTCAAGGCCAGGGGAGATTTTCTCGAAACGAGGCAGGTGACTCGCCAAGAAAACCTTCACAACTCACAGAGTCGGACAAGGCTATTGAGGAAGGTCGTCGCATTTACGTCGGTAACTTAAGTTATGATACCACTCCAGAGGATATTGAAACCATTTTCCAAGATGTTCCACGTGAATCTCGAACTGTTCATATGTCCATCGATTCCATCACAAAGCGCAACCCTGGTTACTGTTTCGTTACTTTCACCACCAAGGATATGGCTGAGGAGGCTTTGAATCGTTATGATGGTCAAGAATTCAAGAACCGTACACTCAGAGTCAAGCCTGGTGTAAGATCAGACCGTGAGTGAATCTCTGAGCATGGAATTTTTCCTGTCATCAAATTTATACAGCAACTCCTCAAAACTATCACTAACAAAACACAGGTAGCACTCGTCCACAAGGAAGCTCATCAGAGATACCTCTCTACACAAACGACCGCTGGAAGAGCTCTGACAGAGAAACTTCTCAGCGTCCAGAACGTCAAGTTGACTCTTCTTCCCAGGATGGTCGAAGACTTTACGTTGGAGGACTACCAAGAATTGATGATCAAGAAACAGCAAACCGCAAGATCAGAGAAATCTTTGAAGGTTTTGATGTTGAAGTTGTTAGCAAGTTGATCTCTCCACACCCTTCCAAGGTTGAGGAAGGTGGCAACCACTATTACTGTTTCGTTGATCTTGCCAACAATACCCAAGTCAATGATGCAGTTAAGATGTTCGATGGCAATGAGTGGGGTCTCAAAGTCAGTCGTGCATCTGGAGGAGCCTCAGGAAAAGTTGTTGAGAAGCAAAGAATCTATGTCGGTGGTTTACCAGATTTCGGAGACGAGGCAGCAACCGAGGCAGAGATTAGAGAGCTTTTCAGTGAGTATACTGTTAAGTGGGTCAGCAAGTTGTGCTCCCCAAGAGAGCCCAGAGACGGCAATAGCCATTTCTGCTTTGTTGAATTACAAGATAGTCAAGAAGCTGATGGAGCTATTGTCAATTTGGATTGGTCTGAGAAATGGGGTGGAAAGATCAGAGTCAAGCCCAGTTTGTCCAATGCTCAAACCAAACAAGGAGAGACCCCAACCAGAGGATGGAGAGGAAAGAGCGACAGAGAGTAAGCACGATCTGGTATTATTTAATCAGATATACCGATCTTAAATAGTTTGCATACCTCGCGCTTCAGTTATGATATGTATTAGCGATTTGCATATATCAAACGACTGCTAATGGGACATTTGACGTCATATCCACATATCTTGAGTAACAAGATTTGTCAATGGCTAGGATACACTGGCATAAATATTAGTTTCATACCCAGCTGCGGCTGTAATTTGCTAGATGCAAATAGGCTAGCAGGCGATACCCAATCTGAATACAAATACATTCAAATTACTTTCCTGTGCTATGTGTTCTAAAAACGCCAACGTGATCGATGAACAACACCATCTCCAGTACTTTTTGAAACAGTTCCTTCGTATTTCCACCACGTTCTTGAACACCTTTCCGTTGACGGGTGTTGATTTCATTCAGCTCTCAGGGTGACAGCTTTAGAACTATATGTAATGGAAATGTTAATTTTCTGCTCAGACACTTGTTTTTCACGGCTCCGATTCTCCGTTGCTTCGAGTTATTTCGAGGAGAAGTAGTGCATTCTCAACTTTCAAAATGTTTCCTCACTACAGTATATCGTCACAGGGAGAAGAAAAGAGTTAAGCGACTCCTTCTTTGTACAGGCAATAGAAGGTTGTTTTCTAGCATGTATGCATGGAAATCCATCTCAATGATCAAGTCTCCTTTTCGTTGCTCCATACCACATTCGCACTCCAAACATTGGGATTATTTCCAACTGTGTGTTGATACTCTCAATATTCTAAGAGCCACCAAGCGGGATTAGTTATTTACGAACACGCATTGGATCATCCTGACTTTTGTTCCATCGGCATGGAATTTTAGTGCTATTGTTGGTTTTTCTCTTATTTTCTAATGTGGCGCTCCTCAAAGTCGTGATGGAGTTAATCAAAATTTACTCTTAGATTTTGATCGGGTTCGAGATCAACCCCAGAAGTTGAGGAACTTTGATGAAGTGTCTCCATCAACCAACGGATTCGGATTTGGTTGTCAGGATATTGCGAATAACAGCGGGGCTCGACTTGGATATCCACTAGTCTACAACTCGATCCATGTGAAATGTACAGTCTTGCATATGAAATCAGTTTGCCAGATGATAACGACCTTTCAAACTCGCATTTTGAAGGGCTCGAAGTTGTATATTCTCAACGCCTTTCATCGGAGTCCACAGATTGTATAGAGTAAAATTACACGCGGCTTGGCTCACCACCATTAAGAGAATCTCCATCAGCCTGTACATTTGCAAACTCATTTGCCAATGCACATTGTTTTTCGGCAAACTTAAGGTCCTAGCAAGACACTACATTCAGAATTAAATCACCCCAAGGCGATTACTTAACAAACCAGGCCTCTAACTTTCCGTCTGCTATTTCTAATTATCCCATTACAAAGACACGATCGGAAATTACTTATTTCGAAATTAAAGATCTGTTGCCTGACCTTTCTCCCGACACATCTAGAAATTCCTTCACAAGTCCATCATACCGAGACAATGACCTCACAACCCAACATCTACCACTTCACAGTCACTTATGAATCTAGAGAGACTCAGTCCCTGATCAGAATTTCCTAATTCTCCCATCACAGAAACGCCAGACGACCGAGCACTTGTTATTCTCGTATACCTAATCATGAGCAGGACTTGGAGATCGATTAGTATGTGAGTGCATTAACCCAAATACAAAATACATGCTCCAAAGCTATATCTATTACCCTTTCTATCTGCAATAGGCGCGTCGGAACTTGCAGTACTTTCTAGGAAGATCGGTGATTCGCCTGCCTCTTGTTTTTGATCCGATCAGTAATTATCAACCTCACATTATTAAGCGATGTATACATATACACCTACATTACCTCGTTTCTTTCATGTATTTTTCTTTTAAAAACCATCATAGCAGCGGAAATTCTTAGCTTGGGAATGGATGTGTTCTATTTTTTCCGAAGTAGTATCCGAAATACACAATTCTTTATTGCGTATGTGATACTAGTACTGGAAAAGTGTGATATTCCTCCCTAGTCCCAATATTTGAGGTCTTTTGGAACCAGCTAACAGATGTATGTACCAGTCAGTGTACACAGCATTTCTGATCCCCAAATCTGAATTTAAATAGAGAATCCCAGAAAGAAAATTCCTCACTATGGAACGTGAGCCTAGGTTAGTTACAAACTGCTCTATAATGATTAGGCACACTTGGGTTTTCGGGCGATGTTTCAACTCAGTTGTTGGTTTATTGGAAAATAGATATATCCCGTGTTTTCAATGGATGATGTTAATAATACGAACTCGCTTCACGGAACGTGTTCATTCATTTTTTTTAGTCGAGTGAATGTGCAGGACGGTCTTCAATACGATCTCGCATTTTAGGTGTACCGAATACAATACAGTATCCGTGTTACTCTACTGCTATTCTGTGGGATAGCACAATATGGAATGGGTCAGTATATTTATATTGTTTCTGTGATGTTGGAATGGGGCGGAGATCACATATTGTCACATACATGCAGTTCTTTTTCGTTTGTTTTAGGGCTGGGGGGTGTGAGGGGTGAGCAAAATGGAGGGAAATCTTGGGTTGGTAACCTCATAGTAGGTGGGCATGTGAAACTGATGCGGGAGTTATTTTTTTACCCCATCTTCGTTGTTTCTAGACAGGGTATTTGGGTTGGTTTGGAGGGTGTCTAGTGTTCGTTAGTATGAGCTGAGAATCATTCGGAGGAGTTAAAGTTAGGATTATAGTTCCTATTTTTCAGAGTGTCGAATGCTTTAGACATCATCTTCTGAATCGCAATCCATGTACGCTTCATAATTTGTCTGGAAAGACGCAGTTAGAAGGTGTGTTTTCTGGGGCAGTCATTGTGTGTCATACTTCATATTCCATATCACATCTCTTAAAACCTTACATGTATGCATCTAAGCCAGCCTGCAAATAATCTCTCGTGACTCAAATATTTGAGATAGCTATCATTTTGCAAATCTGCTAGTGATGTGATCCTTTTGTTCCGTCCTGACTCCCATCCCGATTCTACCATTCCTGCATAAACCCCCAAAGGTTATTTTTCTCCAATTCCGCCTATCATAAATTCACAACCTCAATTGACCTCCGTCCCCTCCTTCACAACCCCCACAATATCCCACACCAAGCTGGATAGCTCTCTCAGCCCCGTCCCCAGCCTCTCCGCATAAACCTCGCCCAATCCACTAGCATCCTTCCCCCTAGCCCAATCTCTTAACGTCCTCCCTACCTCTCCATCTCCCCTCTTCTCTTGAATACTCTCCACATCCGTAATATCCACTTCCACCGCTCTCACAACCCCACTCTGTTTTCCCCAGCATCTATTTCCTGTCTCTCTTAATCCATACATAACCAACTGACACGTACTAATCCAATCGATATTCTTTAGCCCCCCTTGCTTTCCCCCATTCAGGTTCTCTGTCTCCCATTTCCCGAATTCCTCTGGATCCAAGCTTGCAAGAAATTTACACAATCGTTGTAATGCTAGTATTCTAGTAACACGTTGCGGATGATATGGACTTGGGTAATTAATGGGATCAGCATGAATGATCAAGAAAATTAGTACGACAAGCGCAGAGATGTAGTCCGATTTTTCTAGATAAATAAGATAGATTTCATTAAGAACTGTTGGTAAAGGTTGTTGCGCGTAACGTTGTAAGAGGATAAAATCATTCAAATTTCCTAGAGCTTTCTTGAAAAACTCGAGACGTCGGTCAATATTCTGATAGGTTTTATGAGCATTCGATATCATGACCTCGATATGTCGTAATACATGGAGTAGGGAGAAGAATCTGGTAATCGTCTTTGGATCTTCGTCTGCTACTCTAGCCTTTGCAAACTTGTAGGTTTCTTGGAAAGGGACGAGCTTATCAAGTGATGGTGTCAAAACCATAGGATAATCTATGAGATCACCATATATACTTTGGAATACTGTGCAGCGAGAACAAAGGCATTGAAAGAACCAAGTTTTCGCCAAGGCTTCTCGACGAACTTCTCGCCGCTGTGTTTCGTCAATATAGGATATGAATATTTGTTCTCCTTTTGCGATAGGGAAGAGAGCTCGGAGAGTAGCACGCTTTCCATCGAATGTTATAGCTGCATTTTGATAACAGCTATGGTTGGCGCGTGCCAACAGGGGATCAAGACATAGTCCAATTGGACCGTTGCCAATGTTAGATTCGACACGAAACCCATTGGTGGAGAGCTGCAGGTCTGTTTTAGTAAGGATAAAATCAAAAATAGAGGCCTGTTCTTACCCGACAGAGAGACTCAAGAGCATATTTGACAAATTCTGGTTTCTGTTGAAGAAGATTCACAACAGCATGGGCTTGTAGTGATATATCATCCCATTTTGGTTGGACGTTTCTGAGGTCATCCTCGTGAGATGCAAGCTCAATTAACGGTGAATCTTTTGCCAGTGCTGCCGGGTTGCTAACCAATTGGATAGTGCCACGCACAGCTGTAGGGAGCATCTTGTTTAACGAATTCCCAAGACTTTGCGATTGGACAGCCTTGCATTGTATCTCATGATGTGAGCGGTCTAGATCTTCGCATTTTTTACCGCAGTAGTTCACTGCCTTGCAGCCAATACAGTAGACGGTTACTTTTTTCGACCGACAATATGAATAAGCAAAAGCCGTATTTGTTACGGGTTGAGCGCTGATCTGTGATCTAGAATGTTCAAATGGCTTTCTTGATTTGAAAAGGTCACATTCTGCTCCGTGGGAACCCTCAGATCTCAGTGACAACTTTTCGCAATCGACACAACAAAAATTGACAACGCCGCAACTTGAGCAGGGCTGTAGCTCCACTCCTTCTCCTGCTTCTAGAAAACAATTGGCGCACACTCGATGCAGTGCCTGATTCTCGGCAATCAATAAAAGGGGTTTTTGTATGACAATGATAGAATCTCCAGAATTTAAATCGACTGTTGAGAAAAGGCCATTTCCCAGGTCTTTTGCCGTGCCAATTATCGTATGGTTGATGTCCATTTGACTGGATTGTGTTTTTTTTATGGAGTAAGATTCTTGATGGACTTGGATGTGCCTTTTGAATGATGGTGGAATCTGGCAGACTCTATTTTGAATTGACCTTCAATCTAGTCTAGATACGGTTTGGTGCTTCCGATCTAAACCCCGCAACTGCATAGAGAAAGACCCAATTCCTCATCAAGAATCCTGAAGACATGGCGTTGAACAGATCCACCGTCCATGGACGATTTTTATTCTTTTACCATGATAGACCAAACGTATCGATCTTCAATTAACCAGCCAACGCCATAAGAAGTGAAAATGCCGAAACGAAGTGATGTGAATAAATTGTGTTCACAACTGCCTATTGCCTTATCGCTTAGATAACAAAACAAATGATTCGTTGACTGTGATATACAATACTACAACTTTGGAAATCATTGTAGATTCCTCACTTCAACTTCTTGGATAGGCATTTTGAGCTCTTAAAGTCGGCAAAAAGCCAATGGTAGAAGCAGTGTTGAAGTTTAGAAAGCCCCGCCAATAGCTTGGGAATCATGTAGGCATTCTTCAATATTCCTGCCTTATTCTTTCCTTGAAATGAACCAACTGAGGATTTGGCAACTATCTTTCCTTCAGCATCACACTGATATCTGTTGGTATCTTCTCATCAGAGTTAACCCAGCGCAGTTTTAAAAGAGCAAGAGCTGATTGAGATGCAAAACATATACATAAAGGAAGCCATGTTCAGTTCGTTAGCCAGCACATGAACTCATCTAACCAAGTACTTCACGGACTTTCTTGAGTCGCAATGACCTTGCCGATATATCACCCAGAGCTCAACCTAACCATCGTATTAGACACAATCAGATATATCTACTGCAATGAAATAGCAGCCTGGCTTTACAGTGATACTTGCTTCCCAGTGCAGGACCTGGAAATGGATCATGCAACTGCTGCCCATTTAACCCGCGATTGTACAAGCAATTTCTGGAAAGATACGGTGGCTGGTGAGCTATTCAAAAGAATCAAGTACTCGACAACAGATTGCAGTTGCAGATATGAGATATGCATCGCAGTATTATCTTCGACTTCAAGATACATAACACAGCGGATGATATTGATGAAACCTCTAGATAGATGTGAGATATACGATAGAAGAGGAAATTAGACAAAAGAGACAGAAGAGACAAAAGAGACAACACTTACTTCCTGTCGATAAACTGATTATTATTTTCGTCCTTTAAAGTAAGTATTGTCATCGTGGTCGAGTATCATAGATTTTATTAATTCAAATCATGCGGGGGTGGACTAAGCTCTAAAAATCGCCAGGGTAACGCTAAACCAATTCGGTACAAGTTTTTCGAAGAAACAAAAATTGAAATAATATTTTTGGCCATCAATCTCAATATCACCACAACAATCTTCATTTTTTGCCCCTCATCAAATAGGAATCTCTCATAAACCCGATTTTCTTCTATCAAATCCGCAGCTATGTAAGTTCACATGTAGCAATTTCACTGTTGATAACTCAAAACTAATGATTGCTGAAGGCATTTCGTCCGTCGTGCCGCTCTCAGAGCTGCTTCCAACGCCTCTTTCGTTTCTAAACCTCGCACCATCAACACCACTTCCCCATTCGTTGTCAGAGCTTCAAACGAGAGAATATCATCAGCAGTATTCCGAAGATTTGCAAGTGATGATGCCCATACTAGAGAAGAGAACGCAGATGCACAAGAGGAAGGAGCCGTTCGATCAGCTATCAATTCTGCCGCAGAGACCGTCTCAGAGTATGCTTCAGAGGCCAAGGAGACTGTTGCTCAAGCAACTGGGTTTGGATCCAGAAACGCTGGCTTTGGCAGGGACAGAAACGTAGAGCGTCCTTCCATTGACCCTAACAATGGCGTCTACATTGGTAACTTGTTGTTCGACATTACCGAAGAGGATCTTAAGAAGGAGTTCGAGCACTTCGGAACCATTACCGATGTCAGAGTCACTAGAGATGCTAGAGGCTTGAGCAAGGGGTAAGCATTCAAAATGTTGCTATTTTTTTTTAAAACTATAATTAACAAAGACTTCAGATTTGCCTACATTGATTTCGCAGATGTTCAGTCCGCAACTGCAGCCATTGAAGCCAAGAACCAAACTATCTTTGAGGGCCGCAGACTTGTTGTCAACTACGTCAACAAGACGCCAAAGATCAGAGATCAAAACCCACCTTCCAAGTGCCTCTTTATCGGCAACCTCGCCTTCGAGATGTCTGATGCCGATTTGAACAGCTTGTTCCGCGAGGTTAGAAATGTCATTGATGTTCGTGTTGCTATCGATAGACGCACTGGACAGCCAAGAGGTTTCGCCCACGCAGACTTTGTTGATGTTGATAGTGCCATGAAGGCTCTGGAACAACTACAAGGAAAGGAGGTCTTCAACCGAAGACTCAGAGTTGATTACAGCCTTGGTGAGAGAAGCGCTGGAGGCGGTGAGCGCAACGACCGTGGATTCGGAAACAACGACCGCGGTGGACGTGGATCATACGGTGGTGGACGTAGAGACCGTGGAGGATATGGTGGTGACCGTGGAGACCGTGGAGGATATGGTGGTGACCGTGGAGATCGTGGAGGATATGGTGGTGACCGTGATGGAAGAGGCGCATCATTCTAAGGAGAAAGCTGAATATTTAGGTGTCATGTCGACTAACGGGCGAATCGATCAACGAATGATCGAATGAGTACTTTGTATGATGAATTTGGGTAGGCGTTAGTCATCTATTAGAGGTGTATGGGAAGTCTCAAAAGTTGCTGAATCTTCTATGCAGCTCTACTTTTATGGACGCTTCCCGTTTTTTTCACCTTGTATTATAACCCCCAGAAGCTTAGTCGGTCGTAATACAAAGGCTTTGATTTGATCAGGCATAACGACTTCAAGATCTAAATCACAGCAAGAAATCATAAAAAATTCCACTCAGTGCATCTTACAGAACTACTTTTTATTCAAAATGTACACTTTTATCCTTCTCGCCACTTGCTAAATACCCCAACACTTAATATCTTGATACGTGATATGTAATATGTGATATCTGCTAATGCTGTATGTTGTCTACGTGATAATCGTTTCCGATACGACTCCAAAGATCAAAGATACTTTGATCTGATACACCAACACCTATTCAGTCATTCCATTTCGTTTGTATACAGAAAGATCTCGAGAGAAAATAATTCGAAAAACAAAACACGTGACCCTCTTACAGCAGTACAGAGCTGCACTCTAATCGGTGTTTGTGTTGTTCAACCGAGGTGGTCCGATTGAATTTCTAATGTGCCGCGACCCCACAGTTCATCCACGTTCTCATGCATGTTAATAAGTATTCTCCTGCGTCCACTCGACCATATCAGTCACAAAAACAATTATTAAACATCTACCTGGTGATCTATCATAATTACAAAGAATCTTAATTCCTTCTTGTATAATATATTCCTGTCTTAATACATTCCCATCAAAAGCTATCTTTTTGAATATCAGACCAAATTTTAAGCATTACGATCACTAAATAAAGTGACGACGCAAACGGCAAAGGGTGAATTTACCATTACGAGTTACAAAAGATATTAAATCGACTTTAATCAGCTATGTCTTTCATGGGCGGTGCAGAATGTTCGACAGCAGGAAATCCTCTTAGTCAATTCACCAAACATGTTCAGGATGACAAGAGTTTACAGAGAGATAGATTGGTCGGTAGAGCGCCTGGAGGCGGTATGCAGGGCATGCGCTCCGGCATGAATATGAACGGAAGTCAAGATCATGTAGGCAACCCAGGATGGTACACCTTTGTCAAAGCAGTGTATATCTCGAGAATGTTATTTACTGATTCGCAAATTGGCAGATGATGAACGATTTTATGCAACAAAATGGTCAACTCCCACCAGAAGCTTTCGCTATGCAACATGATCTTCATCAAAACGCACAAATGAGAAATGGAACTCAATCTCCAGCTGTTGGAGGATGGGCTCAGGAGTTCAATCCTGGGATGCCAGGAATGTCAGAACAGGCAATGATGGAGGCGGCGTTCCAAGCTCCCAAAGGTACAGCATTCAGTCCTGCGGATTTTGCTAGATTTCAACAGATGGGCCAATCAAGCTCCGCGCGTTCTGCGAGTCCTATGGCGCAAAATATGTCGAATGGTTATTCATATCAAGGTCCTCAAATGGGTATGGGTATGGGTATGAACATGGGAATGATGGGCATGAACAGAATGGGTATGGGCATGAATATGATGAATCAACCACAGTATCAACAACCTGCGCAGGATTTACAACAAGACAAAGGAAAGGGAAAGATGGTTGAGCTCGATGATCAAAATTGGGAAGAGCAATTCAAGCAGATTGATTTGCAAGGAAAGGAGCTCGAAGAGAGTTTGGCGGCGGAAGGAGAGTTAAATGAAATGGATAGGTCAGTCCTTGAATCTGAAACCAATGAATTTGGGGATTTTGAATCTATTTGGAAGGGCATACAAGCTGAAAATGCTGCTGCTAGGGAAATGGCCGGCGAACAAAGCCTAAACGGTATGAACATAAGCGAATTCGATCAATGGGACGGATTTGATGCTGTAGGAACACATCAATCGCCATTCCGCGATCCACAACTCGGAGATTATATGTTTGAGAACGAGAACCTTTTTAAAGATATCTCCAATCCATTCGATGAGGGTGTGCGGATAATGCACGAGGGAGGTAACTTATCTCTCGCCGCACTAGCTTTTGAGGCCGCGGTACAAAAAGATCCCCAGCACGTTGATGCATGGGTATTATTAGGTTCAGCACAAGCCCAAAATGAAAAGGAAACGCCAGCAATCCGAGCGTTAGAACAGGCTCTGAAAGTTGATCCTATGAATCTTACAGCCCTCATGGGCCTAGCAGTTTCCTACACGAACGAAGGTTATGATAGTACCGCTTATCGTACACTTGAGCGTTGGCTCTCCATCAAATATCCATCTATCATTGAGCCAGGCGCCCTGTCTTCTGAGAATGACATCGGCTTCACCGACCGACATCAACTTCATGAAAAGGTTACAGATTTATTCATTCGCGCCGCTCAACTTTCACCAGATGGCGAACACATGGATCCAGATGTACAAGTAGGTCTCGGAGTCCTTTTCTACGGTGCTGAAGAGTACGACAAAGCAGTTGATTGTTTCACCTCTGCCCTAGCCTCCACCGAATCTGGAACCTCGAATCAAAGAGACCAAGTTCATCTCTTATGGAATCGTCTCGGCGCTACCCTCGCAAATTCAGGCCGCAGCGAAGAAGCTATCGCAGCCTACGAAAAAGCACTCACGCTCCGCATCAACTTCGTACGAGCTCGCTACAATCTTGGTGTTTCTTGCATCAATATCGGATGTTTTGATGAAGCTGCTTCTCATCTTCTAGGTGCATTAGCTATGCATAAAATTGTGGAAAATGAAGGTAAAGAAAAGGCAAGAGATGTACTGGGTGGTGGAAGTGTCAGTGACGCGGATCTTGAAAGAATGATCTCGCAAAATCAAAGCACTAATTTGTATGATACGCTGAGAAGAGTTTTTAGTCAGATGGGGAGAAGAGATTTATCGGAACGCGTTGTGGCGGGTATGGATGTGGAGAGTTTTAGAGGAGAGTTTGATTTTTAACTGAAGTTTTTGGGAGAGTGATACTTTGGATGCGTATGAGCGGTCAGATGTACATGATGGATGAATTAGCAGGAGTCGATTCTCGTTGAGTAAATGCATGCATGGGTTGTAGTTAATTGGAATTGGAATTGAAAGTGAAACTGATGATATGATATGTTATATAATTGTGGATGTCAGAATAAAATAGAAGTGTAGTTTTTTGGGGTGGAAGGCCCGTTTGAATAGCATTGAATTGGACTGTATCGGTTAGTTGAAGGATCGAAAATGGGTATTTAGGTATTTAGGTAACGAATGAATGATTGGATTATATTTGAAGGAATTCAAATTTTAGAAATTTTGATATGATATGATGAGATGAGATGAGATGAGATTATTAGAATGTACTGTAGTAAGAGTGTATCTTGATATGACAAGAGAGGTGTATATGTGTATGGGGGTATGGAGTTAGAGTGTGAGATATCTAGCTAGATAGATGTGATGTACGTCGATTTGAGTCTTTATGATATGCTGAGTTGGTGAGGAATGGGTTTGCGTTTTGATCGCAGGTGTGGTTGATTTATTTGTTATTTTCAGAGGTGTTTTTCTATGAGATGAGAGTATGTAGAGGGAGATGTAGAGGGAGAGGGGGAATTATGAGGATTAATAGAAAAGGTGATATTATAAAACTTGATGACCGGTTTAAAAATCGTATAGGTAGGAGGAGATAAAATTCATTCTACCAATAAGTATTAACCTTCCCCCCTCCCCTTATCCCCTGAATTTTCCCAAACCTTAATAATCTCCTCATTATCATCAATCAATCATCCCCTCTCCAACGCTTGTTTGACCAATTCTTCGCGGCGTTCAATATCCCTCCTTCGTGTACTTTTTCTTCTTTCTCTTCTTACTTCTTCTTTTGGACGTTCTCTTTCTCTTTCTCTTCCTCTCTCTCTTTCTCTTTCTCTTTCCCCTTCTCCCTCCAAAACTTCCTTAACCAATTCTCTGCTCTCTAATTCTCTCCCTCGTGTACTTTTTCTTCTTCCTCTTCTTCCTTCTTCATTTGGCAGTTCTCTTTCTCTTCCTCTTTCTCCTTGCCTCTCCTGTTCATCTGCGTTCTCATAACCCCTTCTTCCTTCTCGATCCTCTTTTTTACTCTGCTCACTTTGCGCTCTTTTCCTTCTAGGGTTCTCATAATACTTCAGTGAGCTAGGCGGGGTATAGTTGTCATCACCCACCGGAGACCCCTTGAATTCCCTTGAACGTCTCGAAATCGATCTCGTCTGTCTCTCGTTTCCGGTATCTATAGAATCACTTTCTACTGCCTCGTCGCTTGTGGTATCCCCAGATTCGGGTCTGGCAGCGAGAGCTTTGTCTAAATCAACAGAAGGTCTTTGACAAGAACTGCGTGTGTTTCTCCGTTCTCTTTTGGGAGGGTGAGATGGATTATCTTCACCATCATTCAAGGGTACCGAGACATGAGTCTTGTGCGGCTGAATAGTTTGCATCCGACTCTTATTGATTTCTTCAGGAGACTCAGAAGCCTCACGTTCGTTGCCAGTGGTCAAATCGATCATTAGATTGCTTTGTTTATTTGCAAATTCTCTGACCAAAGGACTTGAATTTGGAACGGGAAGTGTACGGCCCCGCAATGCTTTCCCTGGTGTAAATAGTTCTTCGCTACCGGGCCCATTTGAAAAAGTGCTGGGAGTAAAGATAGATTTATTTGAAGCTCCCTTAGGACGGCCACGACGTGGCTGGAATTGAGATGTATTAGATTGAGATGTACTTTGCTTTTCTTTATTTAGAGCGTCCTCAGGAAAGCCAGGACCTCGGGCAGAGTGGGGTGTGTTAGCAGCGGAACGATCTTCTTTATGTGGAGTGAAACTATTATGTTTTTTTGGAGCTGCTTTAGGACGACCAGGACCTCGGCGGGAATTAGATGGAAGGTGTGGTTCTTGGGTGTTTTGTGAGGATTCTGATTGAGAAGAGTTGGGAATTTCCAATTGTTTTCGACTTCGGTGATAGTTTTGAGGTTGATCTAGAGGAGATGTAAACAGATTCCCATTTGAGTTTGCTGGAGAAATATTGAGTGGTTGAACCGGAATAATTGCTTGAGATGACTCCAGGAGTGTATTTGAGGTAGCTTGTGAGACGTGCTGCAGATTTCGTTGTTCTTCATCAGTGTTGTTTTCATCAGGATTATCTGTTTGAGTAGCCTTTGAGTGGTTCCGTAGATGTTGACGCCCTTCATCATTTTTAGGTTGATTAGAGCTACTCATTTCAGTGGCTTTTGACATAACCTCCAAAGTTTGATGTTCGTTAATATTATCACTCTCGTCGAGAGTGTTCATTGCAGAAGCTCTTGCGATGTGTTGAACTTGTTGGTGCACGTCAGGATCGTCGTGTCCATTGGGAGTGTTCATTTCAGTTTCGATTTGGTGAGAGGGTGACTCCGAAATTTGTCTCTCGGTATCTTGCTCGATGTGCTGAATGTTATGATCTTTAGTACGGTCGACGTCACCATTCGTATCGTAACGCCCAAGAATAGGAGATTCGAAACGAGGTTTGGAAGGAGTGGCGGGTTCTCTACTTGGTGAACGAGTAGGAGGTATTGAGAGAGATCTTGCGTCTTCATCTTGTTGAGCTTTCGTTTCTTTTATGCGTTTGTGATTTCTAAACTCTGCAAGTGTCGAACTCTCGACTTCCCTTTGGTCATATTCGGTTTCGCTGTGCTGGCGCTTCCGATGCGAGGCCCTGCTACCTTCGAGCATTGAGAAATCTCTCGCATGATTAAGCGGACTGCATCTTCCATTAGATATTAATTTGGGCAAAATTTGTCCCTCTTGTAATTCGTCAGAAGGTGCAGGAGTAGTTATCACTCGAGCGCCTGAGGTTGAAACCTTGCGAGAGGCTCTCTCCATCTCCTTAACCCGAGTGCGTAGATAGTCAAGTTCTGTACGAAGATCTTTCTCCACACTAGCTCCCTCCATCCCCTCGACTCGTGTGTGTAGAGAATTAAACTCTGAACGAAGATCGTTCCCTCTCCTAGCTGTCTCTATCTCCTCAACTCGAGTGCGCAGAGAATCAAAATCCGGACGAAGATTATTCCTTCTATTGTTCTTCTTCATCTGCTCGACCGAGGTGTTCAAAAAATCAAGCTCTGTACGAAGATCATCTACTCCATCAGCTTTCTCGGTCACGCGGACGAGATCATGCTGAAGAGTTTCGACGACACTAGTAGCTACAGAACGAGCGCTCTGAATCGTGGTCATCTCGCGGCGCATATTTTCCATGAATATCTTAACGCCCTGCATGTCATTCTCGAGGCGACCCACAGCAGCATCAATTCGATCAATATCTTTTCGTTGCTCACAAATCGCTAACATGATTTTTGCATCGCCAAGTATCGACAGTGAAGATGCTGCCGGAGTGAAAGGTTTTTCTATACTCTGGCGGGATATTTCGCTGGGGCCCAAAGTCCCGGACAGGATTGACGATGGTCGCCTGGACAGTGAGCTTGAGTTATTTGAGGATTTCTTCAAATCATGTGTTTTTGTGACAGATAATGTTGCTTTTTCACCTGTTCGTTGCAATTTCATTGATATTTTCTTGGCACATATGAGTAATTGATCCCTATTTGCTATTAGTATGGACATTATCCTATAAATGTAAACTTCTCTTACTTTTTCAATAGATGACCTTCTGGTGCATTATCGCATAGCAGGCCAAATACTTCACGGCAATTTGCGCAGGCCAAATCTTGAAGAGAACTAAGACGAATGAGTATAGTTGTATTGAATTCGAAGATTCCGGATCGCATACCTATTTTCTATGATAGTTCCAACCTGTGCTGGACCGGTTGCTAGTTTGATAGAACCAACTCCCTTCAGTCCTGTGGCATCTCTTATGACTTTGGGTATATAATAAGTCTTTCCGAGACCTTCCCATGAATTATCAAAGCTGCCAACCTTGAGTTTACACTTGAGACAATAGCATATAATGACTTCTGCGTCTGATGACATCTTGGGCGCAGTGTACTGACCCGAGCCCAGATTTGATGCCAGAATAGAATAGAAGGCTAGAGGTTCGGAAACTGAGAGATGGTATTGATCTTTTCATACCAAAAAATGCACTTGCCAAAAGCTAGAGTTGGAACAAATTTGGAGTTTACAGTTGTTGAATGATTGAATATAAAATAGAAATTTAATATCAATCAACTGTACCGGTTAGTGTGAACGCGTAAGATCGCGAATTTTCGTGTTTTGCTGTAAGGTTATTAAAATGCGATTGTACTTGTACTGTTCGGTTGATTCTTCTCACATAATCATATTGAACGGTGTGAAGAATAACGACAATGATCAATGTAATAAAGAGATATATTCGATGATCTGTTTTCCTACATAGTAGGAATCTCTGAATATCTGCTTTTCCCCAAGTTGCATGTACGTGTGTGAGCGTACAGTAAATGTATTTTGGAACAGGTGCAGCTGCTAATTAATCGCTTTCACTAGACCATTCTAGGTAAAAGGCGCTGTTTCTGCCGTTCACCGCCTAACTAGAATCCATAAAGTTATCATCAACATTTGTTAAAATCTTGCGAATGCGATACACAATATATTTGACTACGACAATCCTCGAAAATGACTGTCGCAGATATTCCTTTTGTATCGCAGCAACCCGCTGGTGATATTAATCCTAAAAAGCGCAAGCATGAAGATGATGATGATGAGAAAGCAGCAGAATCCAATTCAATTGGCATGGAAACAGTATCATCAGAACTTCGTCAACCAGAATTACCAGAATTCAATCTGATATCGGCAAAGAATCCAGCTGAAGAAGAGCTTGGTGAGAAACCTTCATCTGAAGAATGGCAAAAGGTAGAAAGACATCCAAAAAAGAAAGCCAAGAAAATACCCAAGGCTGGAAATGGAAATTATCCTGCTATTACCTTCGCAGCAAAGGAATCTAGGCTTTCAGGTCCAATTAAGATTGGAGATTTACAAAGCCTCGTTCTTTACCTTCTTGCAGATGGGATGGCTCCTCAGTTTGTTTCTATTCGTCATCGACCACAATTCCGAAAAGTTGTCGTACTTATGGTCCCTGGACTTGAAGAATCTATGTTTGGTACCAAGCCTGTATCTGATTCACATCGACATTCTCCAGATGAATACCTCCCACGCAAGTTAAAGTCTGAAACTTTGCCTACAAATTTGAAGCTATTTGCGGATATGTTTGAATATATATGGCCAGTCAAAACACCAGGAGATAAAAAATATGCAAAGATGCATTCTCCTCTACATGCTATGCTAACAGCACCTGTAACTAAAAGCCAAGAGAATAAGAGTAATAATGGAAAAGGTCCAAAGAAAGCCAGAGAGCCTAATGGTTGGCAAAACACTCGCACACCAATTACACAATTCCTTACATCGCCCGAAGATCTTCAAGAAAATGGTTATACCCTTCATCCCGCAACCTATGACGATTTAGTCGATAGAAACAACTTGGCAGAGCAACGAAAGACTTGGGAGCTTGATGAGGCTCATGGATGGGTAGACACAAACGTTAAAAATTTTGATGATGGATCAGTTCCAGATAATGAGCTTGAGCAAGGAAGTCTGACAGTCGGCAGGGAGATCTTTGCTATGGATTGTGAAATGTGTATGACTGGCAAAAATGAGTTCTCACTTACGCGCATAAGCATCGTTGGTTGGGATGGATCAGTTGTTCTTGATGAGCTTGTAAAACCCGAGAAGCCAATCATCGATTATCTCACCCAGTAAGTTTTTGTTTCGACGTTTGATCATATTTCTAACAGTATGTAGATACTCTGGTATCACCGAAGCAATGCTTGCTTCAGTTACAACAACATTACGAGACATACAAAAGAAATTAGTCGAATTATTCCATCCACGAACAATCTTGATCGGTCATTCTCTCGATTCCGATCTTAAAGCTCTCAAACTTACACATCCATATATCATCGATACCGCAGTCATATATCCTCATCCTCGTGGTCGGCCACTCAAATCTTCCCTTAAATGGCTGGCCCAGAAATATCTTGGTAAAGAGATACAAAAGGGACATGGAGCAACTGGTCATGATTCAACCGAGGATGCGAGAACGTGTCTCGATCTCGTAAAGCTTAAGTGTGAAAAAGGATCTGATTGGGGAGCAAATGATTCACAGGGTGAGAATATCTTTAAGCGACTAGCTCGAACTGGTGTAAAATATAAGAGCCAGGGAGGAACAACTAAACCGGCATCTGTAGATGGAAAGTCATCGGCAGCTGTTGATTGGGGCGATCCAAAGAGAGGCCCTGGTGGTGCTGCAACTTTCTCGATTGGCTGTTCGAGTGATGAACAAATCATGGAAGGTGTCATTCGAGCTGTTAATGGGGATTCTGATGGAAAGATGATTCCAGGTGGTGGAGTAGACTTTGTGTGGGGAAGATTCAGAGAGTTGGAGGATTTAAAGGAATGGAATAATCAACGACTTCCTCGTGCACCAGAATCCAAAAGTCCAGCGGTAGATGGTAACAGTACTAATAACACCGAAGCCAACGATAAAGATACTACTATGGAAGAGTCAACTTCTAGTAACCCAGCAACCACCACCGAATCCACCACTACCGAATCTCAAACCCCCACAGAAACCCCTTCGGAAAATACCACCACCGATCCTTTCGCCCCCGCAACCCTCACCCTAACCCAACGTATCCATAAAATCTACCAATCCCTCCCTCCATGCACAGCCTTCATCATCTACAGCGGTTCCGGCGACCCCAAGGAAATGGTTCGCTATCAAAAAATGAAACAACAGTTTCAACACGAGTACAAGACGGTGAAGTGGGATCAGCTGAGTGTTAAGTGGACGGATGTCGAGGAGCAGGCTATGAGTAAGGCGGCGGATAGAGCGAGGAATGGGGTGGGGTTTATTGGGGTTAAGTAGTTCGGTGGTGGGTAGGTGGTTTAAATGATGTTAGGGGAGGAGGGAGGTGAGGGAGGGGAATGGGAGAATAAATACTTGGATGGATGAATTCGTGGACAGATGGATGATGTAACATTATGAAGAGAGAGAAAAGTACGTATAAGAAGGATGAGAATGAGGACGAGAAGAGAAGAGAAGAGAATGATGAAGGTATGAATAGACACAAAACACATTATAATAAAATAAGAAGTGTAAATCGAAATCGAAATCGAAATCGAAATGAAAATCAAAATCAATTACCGAATAAAGATAACGTGGTTCATACACGAGTGAATCATGACACTAAATGAATTACTCAATTTATATATAAAATTCGTTTATATATAATCGTACATTTTCTTTATTAGCCAATAGAATTATTCGAAAATTTCTCATACAAACTCCAATCTTTTAAGTATTTCAAAAATCTAATCTTTATTCAAAAATTCCAAATATTATTAAAGTTAATGAAAAAATAATTAGTTTTTGTAATATAAAATATAACAAATTCAAGCTAAAATGAATTTTTGTATAAACAAACACCGAAATATTATAAATATTTCTCTCGTATCAATATTTTTAATGATTTTTTTCTTTCCAAAAATAATAATTAATTATTCAAATAAGAAAAGCTTATTAAAAATATACGACTACTTGGAGTGTATTTTTAAGTGATTCATTCGATGATATGATTTGCTCGTGTATGAACTACGTTGTAGGAAATATAGGTATATCTATATGCTATGCTATGCTATGTATGCTACACTACGTATGCTCAAATAAACAAATCATAAAATTCGCTCGCTCGCTCGCTTGTTCGCTCGTCTTTCTATTGTCATCTATCCATCCATCCATCATTCCCTCCATCCATCAAATTCGTATAAACATACATGATACATGATATATATACACAACGATATACATATTGCTCAGCAAATCATTGATTTGATTCCTATCGATCGGTATCGACTCGCATCAAAAGAAAGAATCCTGAATCCCCAATGCCAAATCTCCAATGCCGAATCAAAAGAAGAAAGAGAGAAAGAAAGAAAGAAGAAGAAAACGGTATAGTATAAAAAGAAGCAAGAGCAGAATAATGTTTCTCCACTATTCGACTTTCTGTTAAATCAAAGTCTCTCAAAACTTATTAATTAATATTGATACTCACTCAAACTACCACTTCTATCTCTAACACCCCTGGATCCCTCTCCTCCCTTTCCATTTCCATTCCCATTTCCATTCCCCACCACCTGCTGCGCCACCCATTCCAAAACCGTTTCGTAACAAAGTACATACTGCAGGAGATTCTGCACCATGCTTAATCTCTGTCCTCTAAAATCCTCCACCGTTTTCTCCACCAAATCGGTATCTTGATCAAAGACCCAATCCATATCTGCTTTCTTTCCCGGTCTTCCCCGTCCCATATAATCGCCGCTACTAGGATCATCGAATTCCATAGGTGTAGTACCGTGTTTTTGTTCTTTGCGTTGACGTTTCAACATATCAATCACAGAATCAATTGTGCAAAAGGTTCCCGTGCGACCACAGCCCGCACTACAATGTACAAGCATTGGTCTTGTGTTTTCTCCTTCAGGCTCGCCTGATCGGGGAGTCTCGGTTACGGAAGCGGCGGCGCGTTGCATAGAATTGGCGAGGTGAATGAGAGCGAGCAAATGACTAGGTTTTGCCGGCGAAGCAAAATCTGGCCAGGAAGAATAATGTACTTGTGTGATTTCTCGCATTGGTGTAAAAGGATGGGCGGCATGGGAAAGTGTAAATTTCCGGACGGTGACATGAGCATCTTCTGTTGTAGGAGACGGGGGTGTAATTTGAGTAGTACTTGCGCGCTTTCGTCCAGAATCTCTTCTGTCTGTAGAATTTCGATGTTTAGTAGCATCAAGGTGAACTTTCTTTTCGGATACCTTTTTAAGCTTGAGGGGGCCATATTCGTTATCAGACCAATACGAGTGGCATTTCAGTTGTCCTCCCTCTGCTTCCGCTGTCAACATGACAATGACTCGGACATCTTGATCCCAAATTACACTCCAGAAATCCTATAAGGTGTTAGTACCAATAAAAAAAAAGGGAGATAAGGGTAGCGAAAGTACTGACTTCAAAGGTTGCAGGCAAGGGCCCTTGAGAAGCAATATAACGTTTATTACTCCTCGATGCCTTGATATGACTTGCGTTAACATAATCACACGTGCCCTCCGTACGACCTTGTAGTTTCACTCTGGCATGCTCGAATGGCCAAATGTTGTTGTATCTGTTTTTGCTACCCTTCTCAACACCCGCGATCTGAACATCATTAGAATTATTCGAGGCTTCTGACCCATTTCCATATCGAACTCCTTGTGATAATGCCTTTCTCATCCTTGCCAACTCTGCTTGCTCAATGTGAAGAAATCTGTCTGAAACAATCTTGCCATGATCTTCTTTCTTTGCAGCCTTTGATAACCACCTGGGAACAACACTCATAGCAGATGGGTCTCTCGCGAGATCCTCAGGGACTGCAATATCTCTCTGACCAACACCATCCATAAGATCTTGATTTTGTCGAATGTTGCCAAAAAATGGGTTTGCTGCATTGTTTGTTGCCGGCATGGCACATCCACCAGCGACTGGTGCAACTCCAGGCAATGCCGTTCCAAGTGTAAGATTGATTCGTGATGGCTGTGAGGATTGTGTGGAGCCCCGGTCAATTAACCTTGGAAAATTCTGTGCAAAGGTATCAAATCCACCTTTCAATATATATCTTGCTCCGTTCCAGCCTTCGTTGGTAAACTTTTTCAAGGTATTAATAGCTAGTGCTGCATCTTTTTTATCTGAAGATCTATTGTCATAAGCAACGATATATTTGGCTTGCCTCCATTTTGAGAATCTGATTTTGTCTTCCTCATTGGTAAAAGTATCTTGAAGCTTCTGAAGATTGAATGAAGGTCGTTTTAACAAGGTTGTGGGTATGCATAAATTGAGGGCATTTCCAATCCTTGATTGTGAGTAGATGCTAAAAGTTCGGCAGTCGAGTAGCAACAATTCTATCGAGGGACAACGATCCATCATTTCCTTCAATTGTGCTGGCGTGATCATGGCTGGCCCATCTTCTAACATCGATGGGAGTGTGTCCGCTCGCTGATGTTGACGCGGTTGTGGTGCTCGTGGCGATGGAGGATCTGCTTTATTTTGAGGTAAAGAAAGTCTAGGGTGTCTTTCGTCTAGATGTGAGAGGTTGCTTCTTTGCACGGGTGACATTGAAGATGAAAAACTGGCAGGTGACATCTGGCGTGGGAATTCGAAGAATGAAGGAGGGTTTGTGGAAGAAGTCGGCACTCGTTCGGACGAAGATACATATGCTGAATCCGCTCCACTATCAACATCCCCATCCCGTGATGGTGCATCCCTATTTCTTGGAATGGATCTAGGTGACGGAGGTCCATCGTGTGCATCGACTTTGGAGGATTTTTTCTCGTTCTTTGGACGGAGTAAGGAAGGACCTGGGGACATTGAGAAATTTGCCAGACCCCCATGACTCAGATTGAATCTGTTATTAGATTCAGATTGCTTTTTGAAAGCCTCAAAGTCAGGATTTGAGTTTATAGGTATATGCTCTGGTGTGGCACCACCAAATGAGAACTACAAAAAAAAAAAAAGATCCAACATTAGAAATGACTTCACCATGGGTGTGACTCGGGATATTGGACTCACTATAGAAGACGTGGTAGGACTCCAATTTGCTTTGGGTAGAGCGTTGGTTTCTCTAGGATTACTTGACGGTTCAACAATGAGACCGAAGTAATTTGGACTGGCACTCCGAACTTGCTCGGCTTGAATACCTGGGGATCGTAAGGCGGAAGTAGGCGGCAGAGTCTGCCCTACGGATGCAGGTATTCTCCCTGCTGCTGGACTCATGATTGGGCTCGTGGAAGATGGATTTGTAGCGGTTCTATGTGGTTGTGACTGTGATTGTGATTGCGAATGCGAATGTGGATATGGATGTGGATGTGACTGAGAAGACCTGGGTGAAGGTCTCGTTGCTGCTTTGACAACCATTTGAATTTGAAGCGCCAAACCTTTTATCCTTTTCGTTACAATATGATTCCTTCCTTCCGTGGGCGAGTGAGACTATTTACCAGATAACCAAAAGGATATTAATCGGACGTAATTGCCATCGTTTCTATTCACTGCGACGTAGAGTGGAAATGCGGTTTTTTGAAATGAGGTTTGTAATGATCGTATTTGGTACGGCAGGGTGATCGTGGTACTCGTAAATTGACCGACGGTTAGAAGGTGGGTGGATCGTGGTTGACTTTGCGCAGATGACAACGGATGACACCAAATCTAATAATAAAGTCGAAAGAAGGTTTCTTGATTACTCTCTCAATGCTTGTTTGCTTGCTTGGTTGTTCGTATATCCTTTCCTGAAATCAAATCCTTCTCCTTTGGGACTTGGGTAAGTTAAGATTTCGAAATGGGCGAGAGAAATGTAAGCGATAGATCTATAGGATTCGATGACGGATTTGTGACGGGGATGATTGAGTTTTTGGTGAATAATCCTTAACGGGTAAAGAATTAGGGCAAATAGAGGGCAGGAAAGAAAGAAGGAAAGAAGGCTGATGGTATCCAATTCAGGGTTTTTTTTTTCTTTTTTTTTTTTCTTTCTTTTTCTTCTTTTTTTTAGACTTAGAGGGGGTACTGTCACTTGGATAGTGGTGGTGGGTGGGTTGAAAGTCGAGTTTTGAGTTGGATGTAGTCTGTCTGTATGTATGTATGTATGTATATCTGTATGTCTGTATGTCTGTATGTCTGTATGTATGTAATATGTAATATGTACGATGTAGTTGTAGTGGCTGTGAGCAAGTGAGTGGACCGGTGGATGGATGATATGGTCTGGTATGATGGTATAATATGATAGATTCTCGTTGGTCGCTAATAGGTAGGTAGGTCCTGTGGTTGTCTTTCGATGTCTGTTGCTGCCCTTCTCCTCTCCTCTCTTCTCATCGCAAATGCCTGGTTACTGCGTAAGTGCTTTCGTTGAATGCTATAAAGTGCTTAGAAGATTAGAGTTTGTTGCTCATTGTTCATTGTTAATCTGTTCGAGTAAAGGGAAGCATGAGAAAGGTTGAGGGAGGGAGATCCGCAAGTTTATGCTACCGATGCGGAATAGAGGAGGGTCAGATTTTGGACCTGCATGGGTCAGGACGATAATATTAACTGGCTGGATTAGTTTCTACCTTTTAATGGTGACGGAAAAGGTTTGATGATGATCTTATTGAGTGTAGATCATTCAAGAAAAATTCAGGGTCGGACGGCTGAGATTCCGTGGAATGGGTTAGCTGATAGGTACTGGGGAGTTTACAGAATCAAGAAAAACCAGAAGGAAGAGAGGGTTGAATCATCTCGAACCCAATATTTTATTGTCTAATATATATCTATATAAACTACATAAACTATATATCTATATACACATATAGATAGTACGTTACTTGATTGAGGAAAGATGACGATGGTGTGAACACAAACTGCCCACCTACCAATAAATCACATTTGTTCTAGAAGGGTTTATTGTTTCCGACTTTGAATACAGGAAGATGTATTAATGCCAATATTTCATCATAGGAATACTACTATCTAGATGGACACAATGTAGGTATATACTATATCTACCTACACTACATAGTAGGTACAGAGTAGTAGCAATAGAAATGTTGATTCAACCTCATCAATCTCATCAATTCTCATGTCAAATAATAAAATCTGGAATATAATACACAATACACAATACACAATACACACTTTAATAAGCTTAGCCAGTTCATATATTAAAATCGGCTGACCCCCCCCCCCCCTTTCATACTTTATTTTATCCTTTGATCAATCAATCAAATGAATGAATGATATCAATACTCATCTCATCGCTTTTTTCACCGTACCGAGCATGTATCGATGTATCTATGATGACATCTAGATGTGGCCATTCAACCCGTCCAGGGTTATCCGTTGTACATCACTACCTACATCAGTAAATCCAATCCTCACTATCTCTACAGAGTATGTTCTGAATATACCAACCACCCTTTCTATTTGAGTACATACGCTCGAGATTCGGTACATTGTATCTATATCTCATCTATTAACCCCAAAATCGCATTAGATAATAACACTCCTCACATCTAATACTTCAACGTCTTCATACCCAAAATATTCGAGAAAGAGACTGTTTACAAGTTCCAACATTCTGCTGATTACGACAGAACGCTTTCTGTTCTTTGTGATCTTACAATACGTCATTGGTTTTACTTTACTTGGTCATCATATGTTAATAATAAACCCCCTTTATACCGGTAGACCGAACAGCGGACCGAACAGTAGATCGAAGAGTGAATAGAGAATATAGAATAAGAATACGGAATATCAGATCAAAGGAGTTGACATCGAGGCAAAGCCCATTAATAAACAACTAAAACTTATCTATCCAAGTATTCAAGTAATAATATGAACAGAAAGAAAAGTCCAAACTCCGATTGCTCTTTTCCCTCTTCCCTCTCTTTGCCCCTTTGCCTCTTCCTCTTCCTTCCCTCAATCATATAATCTGCACAGCCAGCTTATTCATCTCATGATATTCCAAGGTTACCTGTACATACTCACTTATTGTTACTGATCAGCAGTTTCTCCATCTATCATCCAAGAAAAATCCTCATCAAGAATCCCTTCCTCAATCATCGGATCCATCCATCCATCACCTGTTCAATACAATTCCACAATCTCACAAGAAACGGATGATCCAAAAGTCTAGAACATCAACAGTGAAGAAGTGATCGAGTACAGCATACAAATGTCTTGTAACATCATCTATTTCATGCAAGACAACATATTGGACTAATCAACTAATCAACTAAAGAACTGTAAGGGGAATGAATTATTAGCCTTAACTTTCCTTTCTATCTTTTAGAAATCCCCAGATTTATATTAATATCAAAGGATTTCGATCAAAGAGTACAAAATCATTCATTATTTTCCGTAAAAGATCCAGTTCCTAAATTGAATGACGCTCCGCTGGGCCACTGCCGTGGAGGCTTCTTCGCTTCGCTCCGGATTTGATTAATACAGTACGAAGTACAGTATAGACTACTTGGTAACCTTAGGTATTAATATCCAATACGGCAGGTGTTGCATACATATAAGTGCTTACTAGATCACCATCGAATATTCTCTCCTCTTCGGGTCTCTTTCTTCACTCCTTCCCTCCTCTCCTCCGCAATCTCTCAGCCCTAATAATAATAATAATAATAATAAGTCTCAACGGCGAAGTGACGGTCAACCACATCCTAGATCAAATCTCTTGACGTCATTCGCACACCTACCTACCTACCAATATTCGATCGGAGAAAGAAAGAAAATGTCCGATAGGCGGAAGCTGAGACATTCGAGAGACATGCTGGTGCTACACGTGATTTAATTGTACCAGGAAAATATGGGGTTTGGCTTTGCTTTTACTCATCATGTTTTGCATTGGCTGTGATGGGAAAACGTGACGGCTTCAAGATTGGTGTACAATGTACGCTGTTCGGGTCTGTGTGCATTGTGACTTCGAGCGCAGCGAGCTATGGGGGTTTGGGGGTTTACCCCCATGAAGAGTAGAGGATTGAGTATTAAAGGCAATTAGGTGATGTAGGATTTGATATGAGTTATGGATTGGATTATTATCTTGAGTTTGATGGAACGACTAATACAGTCACGTGGCAGCTACAACGAAGAGGTATACACTTACACACATACCGCACCCCCTCGAATGCTTAGTACTTCATTATGCTTCTCTATTACTATACTACTGAAACAAATCCAATGTTAACAATACTCAAGTGTAAAAAGATCAACTACAATATCTACTTCCAGGACTCTCCATTTCATGATTCATTAATGCAAGTCCATTCATCACATGACATTCCATCAGATAACCTTCCCAACCTTATCAAAAGCTAATCACTTACACACTTTTTCACCTGATAGCTTCATTTCCTGAACCCCTTATCTCCCACCTTCATATCCAAATACGCGGGGTGACTTCGCGAAAATGCATCTCAGGCACACTAAATCTTAGATAAACAATATCTCCGTTCATGCCTCCGCAATCTTCCCTAGACGGGAGGAATCTGATTGGTTCTTTTTATGATATTCAAGGGATGGGGATGAACGTTCGGAAAACATGGATGGAACCTTTCGCCTGGCGATAAGAATCGTGCGAAAAAAAAAATTGTGCATGGAGAATCGAGATAGATGGGAGGAGTTGCATGTCCTGGTGCTGCTGCTGAGGTCGAAAAGTAATATCGTCGGAAATAGTTTTCTTGATAAGGGATAAGGAATTAGACGTTGGCTTTGCCTATTATCGTATGAGATGGTTGTATATATATGATATGTAGGTAGGTAGGTAGGTAAGTGGTTGAGTTCTTGTGTTCAAGTGTGTTCTGTTTCTTCATTTGTATCTCTCGAGTTTTGCGTGCTTGTCATTATCACCTCTCTCTATCTCTACAGATCCTTGGCACGGAGTAGCTCTTCTTATATTTCTAGCTCCAAGTAGTAGCCATTGTATCGTTATATACTCTCTCTCTATACCATTGGCACGAGGAATCAAGCTCATCCCTTCCTCACTCCCCTCCGACCACCTACTCATCCCATCCACCACATCTCAAAATCCGCAATGTCCCTCCACAGATCCCGCTCCCGAAGTTCTCTATCCGAGACCGGCGACGTGAAAGTAAACCCCAGCACCACGCAAAAGATCGACGACCCGGAATCCAAACTCGGTCTCGCTTGCGAATCCGCATATGTCTTTGATCACCAAGCCGAGAGGGCTCTGTGTCGAAAATTCGATTTTCGTTTACTCCCTGTGCTGGCGTGCATGTACCTGTTCAACTCGCTGGACAAGGGAAATTTGGGAAATGCAAAGACGGATGGCATGGAAAAGGATTTGGGCTTCAAGAGTAATCAGTATAATATCATCTTGAGTGTGTTTTATATACCTTATGTGTTATGCGCACTTCCTATTGTGAGTATTTCTGGGATTTGTTTTTGGTCGTATATCTACTTTGGAGGGGTGGGGGTTTGGCTGTTGGCGTATTGTCAATATTTGACTTGATTTAATGCTTCCGATGTAACTTCAGATGTCCAAGTGGGATCTGAGCAGTCTATAGAGAGTTAAAGAGGCTTTAAATGAGCTCTACCATCGTTTATTCATCAGCAAAATTCTAACATTCTATAGGCTGCGCTTGGAAAGAAGTATGGACCTGCAACCGTCCTACCCATCCTCATGATGTTCTTCGGATCATTCACTATTCTCGGAGGTAAGTTATATTCTTCAAGCTCCAACAACACCAAACTAATCTCTTTCCATAGTCGCCGTCCAAAACTTCGGCGGTATGATGACTCTCAGATGGTTCCTCGGCATGTCCGAATCCGCCTTCTTCCCCCTCGTGATCTACTACCTCACCACCTTCTACCGTCGTGGAGAACTCGCCCGTCGTCTCGCCATCTTCTACGCCGCAAGTAACATCGCCTCGGCCTTCTCCGGTCTCCTCGCCGTCGGCTGTTTCCAAATAACCAGCACCCCCCTCTACCCCTGGCGCTACCTCTTCCTCATCGAAGGCAGCACCACCCTCCTCTTCGCCATCTTCGCCTTCTTCTACCTCCCGGCCTCCGCCTCCACCGCCAAATTCCTCACCGAACCCGAACGCACCCTCGCCTACCACCGCATCCAAGTCGACTCCTCCTCCATCGTGAACGAAGAATTCCACCTCAACGACTCCCTCGCCATCTTCAAACAACCCTCCACCTACGCCTTCCTCGCCATCGAAATCTGTCTCGGCGTCCCCCTCCAATCCGTCAACCTCTTCCTCCCCCAAATCGTCGCCCGTCTCGGCTACTCCACCATCAAGACCAATCTCTACACCGTGGCCCCCAACGTCTCCGGCGCAGTCATGCTCCTCATCCTCGCTTTCTCCTCCGATTACACACGCAGACGTGGGCCCTTCATCGCCCTCGGTTTCCTCTTCACCTTCATCGGCTTCATCATCTACGTCTCCATCGACGTAACCTCCCAACTGCACGTCGCCTATTTCGCTACCTTTATGATGTGCTGGGGAACTGCAGCTCCGAGTGTATTACTCAGTACCTGGTATAATAACAATATCCCGCACGAAGGCCGTCGCGTGGTGATGAGTAGTGTGGGTGTGCCGCTGAGTAATTTGATGGGATTGGTTTCGTCGAATATCTTTTTGAATAAAGATGCTCCTAAGTTAGTTTTCTCCCTCTTTTCTTCCCTCCCTCTTCTCCCATCTCATCCCCACTAACCCCCCAGCAGATATATCCCCGCCCTCGCCACCACCGCCGCCTTCGGCGGCATGGGCGTCATCCTCAGCACTTCCCTCGCCCTATACATGATTTTTGACAATCGACGTCGCGACGCAAAACTCGGGCGTAAATTGGATATTGGTGAGACGACGACGGAGTTGTTGAGGGACGGGCCGAGTGTGCAGGAGTTTCGATGGTTTCTGTGAGTTATTCTTGTAGTTTTGATTGAGTGGGGGAAAGGGGAAGGGAAGGAAAGGGAAGGAAAACGGGGGGAAAATGTTATAGAATTCCGAAACTCTGGAACGAGAGGATAGGAGTTTTCATTGGGCGGTCTGTTTGTTGATTGCTTTGTTGCGTTTATGAGATACTTGGATACTTGGATAACCTGGATACCTACCTATACATATACATATACCCATATAGTTCTACCTACCTAAATGAGATAATAATGATACATATATACATATATACATACTACATTCCTTCCTTTTCGTTCCTCACGCTTTCCTCTCCACCTCTTCGAAAAACAAGTAGTCTTCCCACATTTTTCCTCTCTCACAATTATGTAAGAGTTCTGGAATCTTCTCACCACATAAATTTCGATTTCCCTGCTAAAACCATTAATTTTTCAGCTTTTAAGACCTCTATTTCTTTACTCAAGCTTTATATAAAATCATAAACAGAATTCAAATTCGATTTAGAATTAATGGAATTATATATATATATATAAAAGCTAGTTTATTTTTAAATATTTTATTTATAAAGTTATAAGTTATTAAAAAAGAAATCGCTTATTTTGTATGGGAAAAGCGGTACAAGTTAAAAAAAATTCATTTTTATTTTATTTTCAAATCTATATAATTTATGAATAAAAATGATTAAAAATAATATATATATATATTTTTTTTTCAATAAAAAATACACGTATTAATTCCTTATTTTGAAGTTTTTAAAATAAAATTCCTTAAATGGAAAAGGTTATTAACTTTTTTGATTTGTATAGAAAAATATCTTTTTTATAGGAACTTTGTTACAAAATATATAGGGTGTGATAAGTAAGTTCGATAACTCTTAGATGTAGGTAGGTAGGTAGACGTGATATACTTAGGTACTTATTACAGACTGACTGGTATAATATGAGGAAAGAAGTGAGAGGGAGAGGGAGAAAATATTCAAGAAGTATCATCAGATTTGATTGGCATTATTGATGCCATCACATCCATCACCCATCAACAGAATTACTTCCAAAAAAAAACCTCAAGTCTTATTTTATTTTTGAGAGAACCACCCACCACACACATTAATCCAATCACCCAATCATCCACACGCTGTAAAACAACACCAATACCACACCAATACCACACCAAACTTTTTTGAATTTCTATACCACCACATCTCCCCCCGTACTAACTACACTACGTCGAATATACACCTCCCCCTCTCCTTCTTTCCCCCCACAATTCCAGCACAATTCATCCCTCTAGATCTCTTCCTCCTCCTCCTCCCTACTAGCCCTCTTTCCCCTACTATCCAAAGTATTCAAACTAATCCCGTCACTATCCCCGTGATCTCTCCCTTGCATTCCCAAAGCCTGTCTGCCCATCTCATTATCCTTCAAAAAATCTCTCAACTTCTCCTTTCCAATCTCGACTCCTTGAGTACTAGCCGCGTTCATCATGCGGATGATTGGACCCCAGAGATTAAGTGTGTAAGTGACGTATCCAGCGACACCACAGAGAATGAGGAAGATGAAGTAAACTGGGTTACGGAGGACTATGAAAGATGATTGTTAGTTCATGATGTGGTTCAAATTTTCAAGAAAAGGGGGAAATAGAACATACCAGCAACAATTTCATTCCAACCCAAGGCCAACAAAAGACCATAGAAATACAACGGAACTTGGGCCACTCCACCAATAGCACTACGTTTAGCTTCAACATATACGCCATCCGCAGTTTTCTTGAATCTAACGACGAGATCTTGACGTTTGGCTTCACTAAGAACCGTCATTTCTTCTTCGAGATTCTTTCCTTCTTCTTCATCCACGCCACCAATAGGAGTCAGGTCTTCTTCATCCTTAGGATCGACACTAGCCGGGGTGCTACCAATCCATTCAGATAATTCTGGAAGTGATGATGTTTCCGAAAGCTTGAATTTAGATAACAATGGAATGAGGGTAAGAGTTGATTCTCTGGCCTTGGTATAAATTCCCTCAATATCATCAGAAGGACGCCATATACGTGGAACACCCGCTTCATCATAGCGGAATTTATCCTCAAAGTTTTCTCGAAGTTTGAGAAGGATATTACCTTCCATGACTTCCTCGTCAATCTTGGCTCTGAGGACACCCCAACTCTTTCTTTTAAGACGCCATAGACCAACTTCAATCTCATCCTCACTGGCATTGAAACTCTTTGCTCTATCCGTGAATTTAGACTCTGCTTCCTTGACTGTATCAACGAAAGTTTTCCAGATTCTATCCCACAAGTCCTTCTCAGAAGCAGACTTTTCGCCTGTCTCAGGGGCTCCACTACCACCTCTTCCAGAACCGAGTTTGTTAAACTCAAGTCCAATGGAATCATTCAATCGTGTTCTAACCCATCTCTCAACTCGTGTTGCAAGACGTCTCATTTCTTCTTTTCTGAGATTACCGCTGACTTCATTAAGATCTTTTTCGTAGAGATCGTATTGTGACTTGAAATTAGTCCACGCTAATCCTTCAATATACAGACTCTTTGCTTCTGTCTCGAAAGTTTGAAGTGCAGCCGCTTTTTCACGTTCCACGATATCCGCAAATTCATATGAAGCTGCTCTCTTCTGACCAAGCTTAACAGCATTTAAAACGGCATCGCTAAAGGACGCGACCCCAGATTTATGAGCTGCCACAAGTTGACCGTGGTATAATGCCTTCAATCTCGTATCGATTTTTCCTTCAAGCTCGGTACGCTTCAAAGCATATACACCTTTGTGATATCTGCTAGCTTGTGTCTCAAAGTTCTTGATAGTATTGGTGCGAGTCGTTTTACCGGTAGCACCCAAGTCCGCAATGACAGTAGGTTTGCCTGACCTGGTATCTTCCGCTTGCTTCTCCTCATGTGGTTGAATCTTTTCATCGAACAAGACCAAAACTTCCCGAGAGATTTCATCGCAACGAAATTGTGCCAAAAGTTCTTGCTGAGTAGGAAGATCCAAATCTTTGTTACTCACAATTTGATCCCAGACACCTTCTGCGTACACCGAAAACCCATCTGCGGGAATCCGACGGTGATATTCTGGCAAGAAAACACCTCCCTCGAACCCAGCATCTTCGGCCCGTGTAGATTTATGTCCAGCTCTGAACCTTGTACCAAGCTTTTGGACTTCCGTAACGAACTTATCTGGTTGTAAGATCTTGTGTGGTAAAGCTGCGAATGCGAAATCGAAATAATCTTCGATCTTTGAATTCTCGAGACCGGCAGGCTTGGAAAGAGAAGTCCAAATCGCAGTTAAATCCTGAATGAGAGTGTCTTTGAGGTTCGCGAGTGGAGTGGTGCCAAGATGATCTCGAATAACAAAGAATAGAAGGGATCGTGGGGTAGACCTGTGGAGTGTTACTAAATTTGTCAATGATCTTCAAAAAAAGAAAACATACTGCTTGTCCTTTAGGAATAGTTGACAGTTTACTTCGAATACAGTTTTGAGTAAGCCCATATTTGCGCCCTGGTACAATCCTACTTGATGTTCCCAAATATTGACAATGAGAACCTCTGATGTGGCTAGAGCAAAGAGAGCACTTTTCCTTTCAAAGTCTTGATCTTCACCCCGCTCTCTGCCGTCTGTTCCCTCAACATCCATAACCAAAATGTTGTCGGCCATAGTCTCGGATTCAGAAGCCCCGGAGTTTTGATTCTTATTCTTTGACATCCATATTCCTTTTGTAGTTTGCCTCCTCTCCCTCTCGGACATTACCCCAAATTGTGTGCCAAATAAATGGTTGAGGAGCGTAGACTTTCCCGTGGATTGTGACCCGAATACTGATATAAGATGGTAGTTGAAGCCAGAGTGTGCTGTATCTGTGAATTGAAGATAGGTGTTGAGATTAGGACTACACAAATTCTGTCAGCCGTGGTAGAGCTTCCAACTCGAATTTTGCGTACTTGAATTCCTTCTGCTCGTCAATAACTTGTATGCCATGTTCATATTGTTCATTCGTCGGCGCATCGCCAACAGATGCAAAATTACCGTTCATCGTCATGACTGAAGGAGCTGTAGGAAATCTTGCAGCTGCGGAAGGCCTTTCACCATGACCATTTATGTTGGAAGCAGCCATGTCAGTGATTGGCTAGCTATAATATGGTAGTGATAGTGACGTTGAAAAGAATAGATACCCTTGTTTCTCTCAAGGGACAATTGGCATCTGATCTGAACCTGTCCAACTTGATATATTCAGCAACTTTAGCCGATTCGATACACGTGATTGGGATGGCAATCAAGAATGGGTTGAGAAGAACTTGAAGTGCAACACAAACATTTCATCTAACAATCTATTCGAACAGCGGACAGTTTGATATACAAATATAAATCAGAGATTGCGTTCTCGAACCCCTCCTTCATTTATAACTTATGCCACCGAATTTTTCTTCTTCTCCTTCATGGATATTGATTCATTAGATTGGTTCATTTCTAACACGTCACTTTGACAACATATAAGAAGGATGCATAAAATTGCAGTTCATCTAATCATATCATGGTTTGATGTGGATTCCCAAAATTCAACAATATTCATATGGCGCTCCAACTTCCCATCCATCTGATATTTGTGCGGCTAGAAAGTATGCAAATCCAAAGCTAGACAGATGCACACACCACACGATGGTAAACTACAAGAGGAGCGAGAGGAGCAACCTGGGTTGCTTAGCGGCAGAGTTGCATACTTTTTGACAACAAGAGTACTCTGTAGGTAGGTAATGAAAAAGAAACAAGGCTGAAGGATGAAGGATGACCCTATGTATCCGCCCCCCCTTCCCCCTTTCCCCCTATTCCCTCGCTCCCGTCTGATACTTTTACCGGTTGGTATATGTCTCGTGGGATTTCTCCAGATTTTCCCCCTCAAAACCCTTTTTACATACCTTTGCTTTATACTTGACGATTAACTTTTAGTGTACCTGCCGAGTACCTACCTAGTAACCATAATCTATCTAACCGTAGCCACAAATAGCGTTTGGGT